TTGAATAAGGATTTAAGTCTTCCTTGATTTGAATAAAAAAAATGAGTTTCCTTTATTTGAAATGAGTTTGAGTGAAAGATTGGAGAATTTTTTTAAGAATTTTTTTACTCAAATTTAAATACGGATCTAAAAAGAGTAAGAGTTGAAAATGCTCTAACCGGTTTGGGGCGGTAAGGCGAAGACAACTAGAAAAGAAAATGCATCTCAAAAAAACAAATGACAAGTTGAATGTTTAGCAGTTTATGGCTTGATAATCCATACTCTCTAGCCAAACAAGACAAATTAGAAAATGGTTTTTTTTTTCTATTTAAAAAAAAAACTTGGATATAATTTCCATACCCTGTTCCTTCAATTGCTATTTGGATCTTCTGAGATTCCGGTAATCTTTCATCTAACTAACTAAATACACTCCACTGGAAAAAGTTAAGTTAGTCAGAGGTCAATTAAGTGTGTAATGTGTTTATGCTATGGCTAAAAATTAATCATAAAGAAACTTTTTTTTAGTAGTTAATGTTAGGTATTTTCAGATTCATATCTTTTATATTATATTTTCACTCAATTCGCTTAATGGTAGATTATTTTACATTAATACAGATGAGACTCACAATTTACTAGTGTCCCTCATTCGGTGTATGAACNAAATGGTTTTTTTTTTCTATTTAAAAAAAAAACTTGGATATAATTTCCATACCCTGTTCCTTCAATTGCTATTTGGATCTTCTGAGATTCCGGTAATCTTTCATCTAACTAACTAAATACACTCCACTGGAAAAAGTTAAGTTAGTTAGAGGTCAATTAAGTGTGTAATGTGTTTATGCTATGGCTAAAAATTAATCATAAAGAAACTTTTTTTTAGTAGTTAATGTTAGGTATTTTCAGATTCATATCTTTTATATTATATTTTCACTCAATTCGCTTAATGGTAGATTATTTTACATTAATACAGATGAGACTCACAATTTACTAGTGTCCCTCATTCGGTGTATGAACGAACTACTACCGAATAAAATTGAGGAAAAGTATAATGAATAGAATCTCCATCCGATATTCTCTTTTTTATTATTTTTATTTTTCTCTCAGGTTTGTTCCTTTCTTTAAGCGTGCGTAATCACATGTATAGCCCGAGGAGAGTAAGTGTGGGAATAACTCTCGCTCCTTGCCCACGAAGTTAGCATACCAAAAAAAAAAAACTAAAGATACATGTATGTAAATAAATGTATTACCANAAATATAATCATTGAATCTTTAAAGGATGATAAAATTTCATCATTAAAAATTTGAAAAAGGATTTAAGTCTTCCTTGATTTGAATAAAAAAATCAGTTTCCTTTATTTGATATGAGTTTGAGTGAAAGATTGAAGAATATTTTTAAGAGTTTTTTTACTCAAATTTAAATACGGATCTAAAAAGAGTAAGAGTTGAAAATGCTCTAACCGGTTTGGGGCGGTAAGGCGAAGACAACTAGAAAAGAAAATGCATCTCAAAAAAACAAATGACAAGTTGAATGTTTAGCAGTTTATGGCTTGATAATCCATACTCTCTAGCCAAACAAGACAAATTAGAAAATGGTTTTTTTTTCTATTTAAAAAAAAAACTTGGATATAATTTCCATACCCTGTTCCTTCAATTGCTATTTGGATCTTCTGAGATTCCGGTAATCTTTCATCTAACTAACTAAATACACTCCACTGGAAAAAGTTAAGTTAGTTAGAGGTCAATTAAGTGTGTAATGTGTTTATGCTATGGCTAAAAATTAATCATAAAGAAACTTTTTTAGTAGTTAATGTTAGGTATTTTCAGATTCATATCTTTTATATTATATTTTCACTCAATTCGCTTAATGGTAGATTATTTTACATTAATACACATGAGACTCACAATTTACTAGTGTCCCTCATTCGGTGTATGAACTACTACCGAATAAAATTGAGGAAAAGTATAATGAATAGAATCTCCATCCGATATTCTCTTTTTTATTATTTTTATTTTTCCCTCAGATTTGTTCCTTTCCTTTCTTTAAGCGTGCGTAATCACATGTATAGCCCGAGGAGAGTAAGTGTGGGAATAAAAAAAAAAAACTAAAGATACATGTATGTAAATAAATGTATTACTATATATTAATATAAATATAACAAAATTTTCAGATAGTAATAAAACATGCTTTAATTTTTTTTGCAAACATGGGTATTGAGCACCAACGGTATAACAAGAAAGAAGAGCTCTTTGCTCTTCCTCCCTATCCCTAAGAATATGACATTATCCACGTGTGAAGTTGTTATTGTCTATGTAATGCATGCCACGTTGGCCCGCACCCTTGTCAAAAATAAAGCTTTGGATTAGCACATTCATCAATTTTTCAATCATAAAATTTACGCCTGGGGAAAGATCTCTACTTTCAATCTAGGGGAAGTGCACTTCTCCAACTATGCGTCGTCTTCAGGAAAGCCTAAAGAGGATGGGCGATAAAGTCCCTTGCTATCGTAGGTAGCTAAAGTAGCCTATATTGATTATTGCTACTGAACCGTTTTTGTTCATTGTTCTCTTCGGAAAGTTCAAAAAAGAGAAACATTCAGCCATAGATGGCTGAGCAGGGTGACCACCAAATTTAAATAGCATTAATCATAAATTTTAGTGAAGTGCATTACGTAATTATAAGTCCCCTCGTATACATATATTGGAGTGACGTCCTATTGTAATTTTTTCTCAATTTTACTCTCTAAATATCATTGTAACGATAAAATTTGTGTATAATATAACACAAAAGTAATGTCAAATTATAATCGTTTAATTTGTTTGACTCAATAAAAAATTAGTAGTATTGACTCTCTTCGAAGTACTTCTCACGTGCACAATTTTGTAATTCTTAACGGATTTGATGATTACGAGGTCCAGATCAACGTGTTTCTCAATTTTTGATTTGATGGTGGCTCTAATGGATTTGATGAAGACGAGAGTCAAGTCGATTTGATGGATTTGTTCAAGATGAGGGCTTGATCAACATGATTCTCGACCTTCGATTTGGTGATGTTTTAGTGGATTTGGTAATGACAATGGCTTGATCACCATGTTTCTCAACATCGATTTGGTGATGCTTTGGTGGTTTTTGTGAAGATGATAGCTTGATCAGTGTNGATTGCTACAATGCCACTTAACCTTCCTATACCGGCTATACTTAGCCCACCCACCGCCCACTGGTTACAAGCCCAGGCAAGAGGCTAACCCAGCCACAGACATATTTGCCCCTTCTCTCTTCTCCACACACTCAACCCTCTATCTTCTCCTGTCAACCAGAGTGCGAAAGAGCTGAGCTCGTCCAAGGCCTGTAACACAGAGGCGAGAAAGAAGACGACAATCTAAGGCCCTCCAACTTTCTGCTTCGTGTGGTTGGATCAACAAACCCACCCTAACAATTACTCATAACTCTCATCCATTGCATATATTTCACCTATCTCTAACTCCTCTTGACAGTTCAACACCACTTGAAATTGGTTTTAGGTTAAGGGAGTGAGCTGTTGAGTGGGTGATATAGAACCCAGAAGACAATAATTGGAGAAGATTACATTAGGTAGAGTCTAAGATAACATAAATTCAATTTTACATTGAGTTTTGTGGTGTGTGTATTAAAATCCACCCTTGCTTTCATGCACAGAGTCGTCTACTTGCAGTGTGTCTGTGTTCATTTGTGTGTGGTTGCTACTGAGTTTTGTGACCTTGCGTGAGTAAATCATTGGGGCTGTGGGTGATCAAAAAANAGTCTTTATTATTACATAATATTATGTGTTAAATGATAATAATAAACCAAATCGAGATTAATAAAAAATTAATACCAAATCACTATAACTCAAACCAAACTGCATATTATGTCATCAATAAATTAAATTAATCAAACATAAGCCCTTAATAGTTAAGCCATTAAGCCAAACATGTCCTAAGGGTGTGTTTGGGTAAGAGGTTAAAGTGGATTAACACTCGTATGGATAGGCTAATAAGACAATGAGTCCTATAAATTCCTTGTTTGAGAAGCCATTTTTTAGGTTGGATACCAATTTCGGTTCAAGCCTTGACCTGATTGCTACAATGCCACTTAACCTTCCTATACCGGCTATACTTAGCCCACCCACCGCCCACTGGTTACAAGCCCAGGCAAGAGGCTAACCCAGCCACAGACATATTTGCCCCTTCTCTCTTCTCCACACACTCAACCCTCTATCTTCTCCTGTCAACCAGAGTGCGAAAGAGCTGAGCTCGTCCAAGGCCTGTAACACAGAGGCGAGGAAGAAGACGACAATCTAAGGCCCTCCAACTTTCTGCTTCGTGTGGTTGGATCAACAAACCCACCCTAACAATTACTCATAACTCTCATCCATTGCATATATTTCACCTATCTCTAACTCCTCTTGACAGTTCAACACCACTTGAAATTGGTTTTAGGTTAAGGGAGTGAGCTGTTGAGTGGGTGATATAGAACCCAGAAGACAATAATTGGAGAAGATTACATTAGGTAGAGTCTAAGATAACATAAATTCAATTTTACATTGAGTTTTGTGGTGTGTGTATTAAAATCCACCCTTGCTTTCATGCACAGAGTCGTCTACTTGCAGTGTGTCTGTGTTCATTTGTGTGTGGTTGCTACTGAGTTTTGTGACCTTGCGTGAGTAAATCATTGGGGCTGTGGGTGATCAAAAAAGAAAAAAAACAATAGGAATCGTTGAGGTTTGTGTGTGAGAGAGAAAGAGTCGCAGGAAATTGGGTTGGGGGAGAAAAAAATAGCAAAGGATTCACCGCTGCATCTACGTGGCTATGTTGGACTGGCTGCCCGTAAATCAGTTGGTTTACGGGTAAGCAGGATAGAATTAAATCCCATAGAGCTTAGGCAGAAAACATATAGTATTAACTGCACAAAAACGATTATTTTCCATGCCCATCGGGTAGGTAAACAACGTTACAGAACCATGGCAACAGTTTTCTTTTTGTCTCCATTTCCCAACGGTTTAAGCTATTCACTTGAGGGCTGAACTAAGACTCCTCACCACATCTTTCACTGTCATGCTGAATTCTTTTTCCATCTGCAAGAACATACATATATGACCAGGATTATAACTAAGAAAACAATTAATTACATCAAAATCTAAGTGATCAGCAGTTTCTTTGGGATATAATTACCTCGGCGGTAATGGTGATATCGAGAGCCAAACTTCCAAATGGAAAAACACTGGTATTAACCACACTCAGATTGAGCTTTTCGATCTGAGTCAGTATTTTCACCAGTTGTCCCTTTTGTTTCTCACAATGAATCCTCAGAAGCACGTTTTTGTTGCAAACTCGAGCTTCAATTTCAGGGAGTGACTCGTCGGAGCTGCCTCCGAAGCTCTCGTCGGAAGAACTCTCATCTTCAACATCGAGCTGGGATTTCTTCACAAGCACCACAGATTTCATGGTTTGCTTCGTGGCTTGTTCCTCCAACATCTTCACTCGCTCTTGGAGTTGTTTCAGATACTTAATTGCATCTCCAAGTACAGAAGTTTTATTCATCTGCGTGATCGATCAAAATTCAAGCTCTGATCTCAATAATGGATGGAGCATACCTTTAATATAGATCTGCATACACATATATAGAAGATGGGGAACTATGCGTGCACATTGGAGCTGGACAGGTTGGTACACCAGCATAATATTTTATGTATGGTGGGACAAAAGTTTATTGGGTAAAATACACCAGTAGCCTTTGAATTATGGATTCTCTCACATTAGCCCCTTAACTTTCAATTATTTTATTTTGGTCCAATCTCTAACTTCCCTCCGGATTATTATGGAGAAGGGTTATGTCTTACCGATAATGATTGTCAGATGCTTACTTCTTGTTAATCATATACATAACTAAATGGTCAAGTACAAATAATATATTGAAAACTTTATGATTCTAAATAACACAACTAATAATATAAAAATCTAGGCCTTTGATTAAATGGCACTACTTATCTTGTGAAGGTTTTATCTTCTGGAGATCAATGATTTAAGCCCCATTTTTACCTCCCCCTCCCCCTCCCCCCAAAAAAATAATATAAGAATCAAAGTGAGACCGAGTATTAGGACGANCCATTTTTACCTCCCCCTCCCCCTCCCCCCAAAAAAATAATATCAGAATCAAAGTGAGACCGAGTATTAGGGACAAAACTAAGATTTTATCTTGAGGGAAGCCAACAATGACATAGACAAAAATTAAATTCAATGAAATTATTCAACGATCATTGTTAATGATAAATTTTTACTTATAAAGAACCTATTAAATTTAATTTTTATGCAATGCCACCGAAAAAATTATTTTGAGCAAAAACTCAAAAATTGGTTCATGCCATCATAAAAATTCATTTGTGATAATATTATCATCCTCTTTTTTTCTTGTTTATAATGTAACCTTATGTTTATAAATAAATTATGGTTGCAAATAATAGTTTCATATGATACCATAATAAAAATAAATTATAAGTCAGCGAACTACTTTTGATATAAATCATATTTATACACCTATTTTTTTTAATTAAAAAGTCACTTATTATTTTCTATGATTATCAAAATAATCCAATAAATATTTTCGTTAATACAAGCGACACTCATTTATGTGATTACATCCTAAATGGTTACTAAAATATTAAATCATTGATCGTTTTGAATACAACAAGTGAGATACTTACACATTGAGTGTTTTGAAAAGTTAGAGGTTAACAATAAATTTTTTTTGAAAATAAACGGGGGAACAATGAAAATTTTTAAAAGTTGAGGGTGTGGCCCCCTTTGGCCTACTATAGTTCCGTCACTGCTGAGCGCATACTATTGAGGTCACTATTTTATTTCGAGATCACTAATTTATAAGCTAATTTCCCATCCCTGATTCTCTCAAGAATTCTTAACCAGGAAGTCAAGGAATCAACGGTTTATTTTGTGTTTATTTGATTTCGCATCGTTTTGAAAATATTTGATGTATGATTTAAGATGAAAAGTTGTGTGTGAGAGACTTTTTTTTGTGCTTAATTAGAGATGTAAGAGCGTGCGTGTCTGTGTGTGTGTGTGCGTGAGAGAGAGAGAGAGCGAGAGAAAAGAGTTTTACTTTCATTGTTTTTGTTTTATTGCACCTGTAGTTTTGACCGTTGTAACAAAATGTATAGATTGTATTTTTAGGCTCAATTATTGAATCTAAAATTTAATTGTAAGGTGTACATTTTATTGGGATATTTTGTAGAGTTTATATTATCATGTATTTGAANATTAAATGGCACTACTTATCTTGTGAAGGTTTTATCTTCTGGAAATCAATGATTTAAGCCCCATTTTTACCTCCCCCTCCCCCTCCCCCCAAAAAAATAATATCAGAATCAAAGTGAGACCGAGTATTAGGGACAAAACTAAGATTTTATCTTGAGGGAAGCCAACAATGACATAGACAAAAATTAAATTCAATGAAATTATTCAACGATCATTGTTAATGATAAATTTTTACTTATAAAGAACCTATTAAATTTAATTTTTATGCAATGCGACCGAAAAAATTATTTTGAGCAAAAACTCAAAAATTGGTTCATGCCATCATAAAAATTCATTTGTGATAATATTATCATCCTCTTTTTTTCTTGTTTATAATGTAACCTTATGTTTATAAATAAATTATGGTTGCAAATAATAGTTTCATATGATACCATAATAAAAATAAATTATAAGTCAGGGAACTACTATAAATTATAAGTCATAATAAAAATAAATTATANGTGTACATTTTATTGGGATATTTTGTAGAGTTTATATTATCATGTATTTGAAAATTTAGATTAAATTACATTGTACATTAGAAAATATAAAGTCTTCTTTGTAGTTCGGGCCTAAAGCCCCACTTTTTCAATTACACTGTTAAGCTGGCCCCGCCTACTCATATTCTTTCATTCTAAAACTAAAGAACAGTCATTTCTTTTTTCAGCTGTGAAAAAAGTGAGGGGAAGTGAATCGAACGTGAGACATAACCATGCAAAACCCTCTATGTGACACTAGACCACACAATTGACTGGTAAACAAAAGATAACTGAGAGAGATGTGTGTTCTATTTAAGGGCAATACTTCTCTAAACCAAAAGAAATGACTATAATCTAAATAATCAGACATTGAATAAAAAGAGGTGACATGGTACCCATAATCTAATTGCTGCTTCTAAGCTCCCATGAAAGCTAGTGGTCCTATGTGTAAAAATACAGTTCCTTTACCTCCAAATTTAACCTACATTCTCAAAATAGAGGAACGCCACCTGATTTGGGATTTTTTTTTTATAAAAAAAAAAAAACCAGAATAATACCTTTGTCTGATACTGGGACAAGCAGAGAAATAAACAATCCAGAAAATAAATAAGCAACTATTTCACACATTCATGAACCTAATGATTCTGTCAACAAGACTTAGATCTAGTTGTATTGTCAGATCAAGATTGAGATGAGTAATTTCTAATCTTACGATTCTCCTCCAAGTTTTTAAAACCGATTAAAATATATAGCCTCAAAAAACAAGTTTAAGGGATGAAGCTGATTGGTAGATATGGTGCTGCAGATTCTCCTACTGTCTGTAATGTTATCACACTAGGCGTTATAGCTAATTAGGTAGAATATATGTCATCAGCATATTTCCTGCAACAAGGAGTACCCACAAGCAGCTTAAGCAGTAGGTGAACACAGTAATTTCATACTATTTTATCGCACTACAGATCTTAGACATGTGGAAAAGAGTTCATTCCATGTCCAATTCAATTGGAATAACACGGCACATCAAGATTCCAACATATATGCACGTATGAGTGTGCGTGCGTGCACGTGTACATACATTTGTGTCTAAACCATTTTCATCAATGCACATTGACCAAGCCATCTAGAGCTTAAACAATAAACACACACAAATTAAACGTGCACACATCCACACAGCTCTGCTAGTCTCCCACTAAAAGCTTATAGCAATTGGAATAGATATTGATCTCGAAGAAACAATATTCCCAATTACATTTAACTTCTTTTTTTTTAAACTGCTGATTACATTAACTCAAAAAGAAAAAACTAGCAAATCAGAATTTCATGTAGCGGTTGCTTGGATCTCTAAAGAAGCAAAAGCCATTACCATAGAAAGAGATACATCCAACTTTTTATCAAAAAAAGAAAGAGAACCACCTTTCAATTAAATATTTCCCTAGTCTGGTCACCAGTGAAATAGCCAAGCATGGCCAGTTGTGCTCAAGAATGTTTTCCACAGAAACAAATCAATCCTCCTCCTGAGTCCAGATCTTCACAGTCTTGTCATTTCCAAGTGCACCAGATGCAATTATGTTCTGAGTCGGGTGACATGACACCGAGATTACAGTATCAGTGTGACCTTCCAATTTTTGAACTACCTTCCTGGTTTGAAGTTCCCACAAGTACACACAATGATCCTCAGAACCACTAACAATATACTTCCCATTCGTTATGGAGAATGTCGATGAAATACAGTACTTTGAATTAACATGGCCGGTGTAAGTCTTCAGAAATTTACCAGTTGAAAAGTTCCAAAGCCTCTGTAGAAATAGCATTAAAAAACCAGACGACAAGGCAGATGACATTAAACAGCAATACCACCAATGAACAAATTCAGAGAAGATCAGCATGGTCTCTATGCAAGGATGACACAGTTAAATCAAGAAATAGTCCAAATTTAAAAAAAAAAAAAAACAAATTCATTTTTTTAACATTTATTATTATGGATTTACACACTGGAATATGTGGAACAGACACGCAAGGTTGTGCAAACATAGACACAAAGTGCATTCTGCATGGAAATGATAAACATGCTGGAAAACAATATAGACATCCCATGAGGAAAAAGTTGAACCCTTAGTTTGTGCGGCCTCAATAAATGATTAATTTCTCTGTGATTTACATTAGCTTGCAAGATACCCCTTCCCTTTCTGAGATACTTTGGGGTTCTCAAATCTCAAGTCATCCTTCTACATGCTATGGAAGAATCCAATCAAAAGGCAAGTTTTGAGAAGAGAACAGTTGCATACACTATCTAATATTCTATGAACAGATACACTCGTTGCCATACACTAATTCTTAAGAGAAGGTACAAGTGTTGCATGCAATGAAAAACAATAAAAAGCATGCAAGCCCACCCAATTCCTTGAGATAACCTGACGGCACCAACAAATCACTTTAGGAAGCATATGAGGCATCAAAAGTGTATAAAATGTCATGTAAACAAACAAAAAATGCTCACATTGGACTTGAAATCTAATCAAAACCATGGTCAATTTGGGCTGTAATAATCATGCAACACAAGTGACAAAATTCATTCCATGATAATTTTCTGGGATAAAATGTCACCATTTATTAATAGATATGCTTCATTTAAAGTTTCTTTTGGTGTACAAAGATACTATTCAAAAGTTGACTGTTTTCACTTGATGAAACAGATGCACCCAATAGAATAATTTATTAAGAATTTACCAGCCCACAGTTCCACTTTGTTCGGTACTGAAGTATTCATCCTTAGCTCAATTGGTACTTTGTATGTATCAAAATGGGGGAAGGGAATAACCTTTAATATGTTATCAAAATTAGGCTTTAGGAGATTTTCAGCAAGTCTCTATTTCAAGTTCATTGAGTGTGTTCTCCTTTTTTTGCCATAGTAGCACACAGGATGTATTTGAACTCGCCTTTTAATTCTTACAGCGTGCGAGAGAGTGTTAAGAGTTTATTTTGCATGTATATAGTAAAGCCTCCTAAACTACTATCTGAGACTTGTGGATCTTTCCGCACACTGCCAATTGGCTTTGTAAAAAAAGCAGCTGACAAGAAAAAGGGAACTTCACAAAACTTGGTAAACTAGGAGGTGTTGGGCCTTCATACGTGCCTAAGCCAAATCTCTATGTATTGTCAATGCATAGCATGCCTTACTACTTGTTTTCCTTTCCTTCCCCCTCCCCCCCCCCCCTTTCTTCTCTCCATGGTTGCATGAGCATTCGCTTTCATAGATAATTTTCTTTTCAAATTGGTTCAAGTCCTCCACTAATGAACTTGTAGTTACCAGGTTAATACACGAACAGTAGCTTAAATTTTTTCCTTGAAGAGCTGGCATCATAANCCCCCCCCCCCCCCCCCCTTTCTCTCTCCATGGTTGCATGAGCATTCGCTTTCATAGATAATTTTCTTTTCAAATTGGTTCAAGTCCTCCACTAATGAACTTGTAGTTACCAGGTTAATACACGAACAGTAGCTTAAATTTTTTCCTTGAAGAGCTGGCATCATAATACTTTCTGTAAACCCTCTATAGGATTTATTTTTTAAAACGCCAAATAGAAGTAACCCAGTAAGGAGTGCCAACAATGACAAAGGGTAATAAGCTTATGAGATAAAGAAATACCTATCGTTTCTGAACAGAGATAGATGGCAAGAATATTTCCATGTACTTTTTGGATTATAAATTTTATTTGAAGAAAATTATGTTCCCCAAAAATATAAGGTAATACAGACATTGCCCAATTTTTATATTACCAACCAGAAAGTATTGGTCCGAACCACATTTCCTGTTGATATGTATATTCATAATCACTAACTTCGAATCCATTGAAAAAGGTATGCAATAGAACCTACCTCTTGTGATTTTATTTGAGTGTTAAAAAATTGTTCCACACGTAATTGATACTAATATAAACTTCAGAAAGGAATAATTTTTCATAATTGTAGCTTTACTCGAGGCTGAAACTGAAGTGCAACAAGATGTCTCGTTGTATGCAACGAAGACTCGAAATTCATAACGTTGATCCATACCCCACCCCCACCACAAATATTTCATAAGCAAAGCCAAAGTACTCTTGTACACCTAATGCTTAATGATATGCAAAGAGAATACTTCTCTTCCTACAAGTGCATTACCTACATGTAAACATTGCCATACCNTCATAAGCAAAGCCAAAGTACTCTTGTACACCTAATGCTTAATGATATGCAAAGAGCATACTTCTCTTCCTACAAGTGCATTACCTACATGTAAACATTGCCATACCAAAATTGAGCACAAGCCAAATGATTCTAAAATAACTCTTCAATGACTACATTGTGAATAATGTCAAGCTGAAAAAATTGTCATAACATTTTTCGTTCTTCTAGATTATGGTATGATGAAAAATTACACATCCTATTTTAGCACCCAATTCATATGGATCATCACCAAATAAGTAAGACACTTCAAACTTGCCATGAAATCCATCTTCTCATACACGCTACAGTTCTCAAGGTCAAGAAAAAAGAATGCAAATAATGCATATGTTTTAATTTAATGAAGAAATAGATATTTTTCAAAATTTTCAACAATTATATGATATGGGATTATGTGATGCAATTCATTAAACCATAGGTGTGATGCCTAATAAACCCCACGATTGATTCCTAGTTTCCTTCTTTTTTTTCTTCTTGTTTCTTTTATTTTTTTACAATTATCTATGTTCTAAACACATTTATCAAACTTGATATATCCATATCTACACCCTTAAACATCATATACAGACTATAGACCCCAACATCTTTCACCTTCAACTTATCTAACTCTAGCACACAAGTTGATATATTTATTCCCCTAAAATACTATTCGTCGATCGGTACTGTTCACAGCCTTGAACCTGGTTTTGTTGGTTCGATGTTGTCCTATATCATTCCACAAGTAAACCAAAAGTACCTCAGCGCTCATGTCAAATCCACACAATAACATCTACACATCACAAATAGGACTCATGGATTTTCTGAAATTCAACCCTCGTTTTTGACCTATTGATCAAAGTATCATAGTCAACCGGATGGCCGCCCCCTAATTACTAGACCAACCTGCTGTTTGAAAACAGGATGGAACTAACTGTGGGATGGAAACATTTTCAAAAATTGATGAAAAACCAACAAAATCCCAGAAATGCGATCCGCTGCCCAGTAGAGTGGTTCAGAGCTCTCACAAATGAGATTTGTTCCAATTTCCACAATTGGTATAGATTTCTAGGTCCCCTATAAGGGACTCAACTCTCAAGCTAGGCTGGAGGGCATAGTTTCAAACTTCAATTGGAGACAAAATTCAAAAGCCTTTCAAAATGGAACTGGTAATGTGAGAGACACTAAAGACCACCATAACACCACCTCTCTCTCCAACCTTAGTTAGATTAACATTACTATGCACANGTTAAATCTTTAGTCTGAATTTGAATTTCTATTTAAACGTAAGTTATGATTTAACTAGTGTATAATTGAGGGATCATTTCATGATTTGAATAATTATTTAAGCATAAATTTTGATTTAACTAATTTATAGATTGAAGAATTAGTNCACTCCAAAACAGAAGGGTCCAAAAAAATTCAGCAATGACCATACTTTTCCATGTATCAGAACAAGGCCTTTCTACGACATTTAATTGCGCACACAATTGTAAGTGTTAAAGCTAAACAAACAACTTTTTAACAAAGNGTTCATGCACTTTGAATCTATTTTCGATTCTACTAGAACTCATGAATCTAAGCAACTGAATTACTTCTATCTCGTCAAAGACAGACCAAAACATTTTCCTATCATTCAAAAAAAAATTATGGTTAACTTGTTTGTATGAATCACCACTTCTTATAAGTCATAATTTATCTCAACTTTATTAGGCTTAGTACCTTAAATTTTTCCAACAACCAATAATACTATAGCTTAACAATGCCCAATTCCACTCAAATATTTTACTAAACGTTTTGCATCAAATTGATATGAAAAGTTGAATTAGCAAAGTTTGATCGCCTACGATTATATATTCAATGATTGTATTTGAATCATCGTTTGGTACATAAAATTAGATGAAATAATTTTATACATACATGAATCATCATTTGGTACACAAAATTAGGTGAAAAATATTACACATATATGTTTATTCTCTAATTATAGGGAGAAAAACAAAAAACTGAATTTTTCGTGATATAACAAATACTCTCTCCGTTCTTAAATATCTGTTGTTTAATAAAACTAAAATATAATTAATATTTTTTCTATCAAATTTATTCTTAACTTTTTAATACATTAGATTAAGTGGAAGCTAAGTGTCTTTCATATTCTTTTTCTNACACATATATGTTTATTCTCTAATTATAGGGAGAAAAACAAAAAACTGAATTTTTCATAATATAACAAATACTCTCTCCGTTCTTAAATATATGTCGTTTAATAAAACTAAAATATAATTAATATTTTTTCTATCAAATTTACTCTTAACTTTTTAATACATTAGATTAGGTGGAAGCTAAGTGTCTTTCATATTTTTTTTTTTTCCAATACGTATTGAATAAGAGTATTTTAATCTTGTGTAATTATTTTTNGTCCAAAATCAAATGTTAAAGCTAAATTTCAGTGCTCAGACCGATTGACAAGTACAACAGAATAGGAAGGATAAGATTAACAAACTCACCAATGTATTATCCAAAGTGCCGACAAGAATGAATTTCCCATTGGGCGAAAACTTCACGAAACTGACTGGTGGATTCTCATCATCAATCAAAGTCTTCATACAATGTCCCGTGGAGGCGTCCCAAATACGGCACAACCCATCGTAACTGCTCGACACAATCAAAGTCCCATCCCGATTAAAGTTCACGGCCGTGACCGGGTCAGAGTGCGCGGGAAGAACCTTCAAACACTTGCCGGTCTTTACATCCCAAACCCTAACCGTCTCATCGAACGAACCGGACACAATCATATTGGACTGAGGGTTGTAATTGACGCAGAAAACATAGTTGGTGTGTCCAGCTAGGGTTTTGATTAGAGACCCAGTAGAGACGTCCCAGAGGCGCACGGTCTTATCGTCAGAGGCGGTGGCTAGGTACCGAGTGTCGGAGGAGAAGGCGAGGTCGGAGATGCCTTGGTCATGACCTTGGAATTCTTGCAGAAATGTACCGTCGGCGGTGGAGTATATGCGGGCAGTCTTGTCGGCGGAGGAGGAGGTGACGAATTCGCCATTTTCGGAGAATTTGACGCTTGATATTGCGCGTTTGTGGCCGGTTAGGGTTTGTTTGTGCTTGTAAGGCTTGAACGATTCGGCAGGTTCTGAGGATGACATTTAGGTAATGGTGGACTCTGGGGTGAGGTGAGAGAGGAGGGTGTTGATTGATCGGAGGTCTGGGTTTCTGGAGGGGTTTAAGAACTGGTGGTTGTGTGTGTGTGCGTGTGTGTTAGAGAGAGTGAGAGAGAACGGTGTGTCACCTTCAATGGACTTGGAATAAGAACTGGCGCTAAAATGACAAACTTGGTTTAAGGAAATTGTGGTTAACTTACCAACGGGCCTTTAATTGTGACTTAGATAATTAGTAAGACCGACTTCAATTATTGACGAATAGTGTTAAATCTTTAGTCTGAATTTGAATTTCTATTTAAACGTAAGTTATGATTTAACTGGTGTATAAATTGAGGGATCATTTCATGATTTGAATAATTATTTAAGCATAAATTTTGATTTAACTAATTTATAGATTGAAGAATTAATTCATGCACTTTGAATCTATTTTCGATTCTACTAGAACTCATGAATCTAAGCAACTGAATTACTTCTATCTCGTCAAAGACAGACCAAAACATTTTCCTATCATTCAAAAAAAAATTATGGTTAACTTGTTTGTATGAATCACCACTTCTTATAAGTCATAATTTATCTCAACTTTATTAGGTTTAGTACCTTAAATTTTTCCAACAACCAATAATACTATAGCTTAACAATGCCCAATTCCACTCAAATATTTTACTAAACGTTTTGCATCAAATTGATATGAAAAGTTGAATTAGCAAAGTTTGATCGCCTACGATTATATATTCAATGATTGTATTTGAATCATCGTTTGGTACATAAAATTAGATGAAATAATTTTATACATACATGAATCATCATTTGGTACACAAAATTAGGTGAAAAATATTACACATATATGTTTATTCTCTAATTATAGGGAGAAAAACAAAAAACTGAATTTTTCGTGATATAACAAATACTCTCTCCGTTCTTAAATATCTGTTGTTTAATAAAACTAAAATATAATTAATATTTTTTCTATCAAATTTATTCTTAACTTTTTAATACATTAGATTAAGTGGAAGCTAAGTGTCTTTCATATTCTTTTTCTTCCCAATACGTATTGAATAAGAGTATTTTAATCTTGTGTAATTATTTTTTACTCATATTAAAACTATTTAATAACTTCTTTAATTCTTGTGCAAAAACCTTAAACGACATATATTTAGAACCGGAAGGATTTTGAAATAAAGGGAAAAGTTTCCATTCTCCTTGATGGATTTTGAAATAGGGGCGCTCAATGTGAGAAAACTGCANTGTGTGTGTGTGCGTGTGTGTTAGAGAGAGTGAGAGAGAACGGTGTGTCACCTTCAATGGACTTGGAATAAGAACTGGCGCTAAAATGACAAACTTGGTTTAAGGAAATTGTGGTTAACTTACCAACGGGCCTTTAATTGTGACTTAGATAATTAGTAAGACCGACTTCAATTATTGACGAATAGTGTTAAATCTTTAGTCTGAATTTGAATTTCTATTTAAACGTAAGTTATGATTTAACTGGTGTATAAATTGAGGGATCATTTCATGATTTGAATAATTATTTAAGCATAAATTTTGATTTAACTAATTTATAGATTGAAGAATTAATTCATGCACTTTGAATCTATTTTCGATTCTACTAGAACTCATGAATCTAAGCAACTGAATTACTTCTATCTCGTCAAAGACAGACCAAAACATTTTCCTATCATTCAAAAAAAAATTATGGTTAACTTGTTTGTATGAATCACCACTTCTTATAAGTCATAATTTATCTCAACTTTATTAGGTTTAGTACCTTAAATTTTTCCAACAACCAATAATACTATAGCTTAACAATGCCCAATTCCACTCAAATATTTTACTAAACGTTTTGCATCAAATTGATATGAAAAGTTGAATTAGCAAAGTTTGATCGCCTACGATTATATATTCAATGATTGTATTTGAATCATCGTTTGGTACATAAAATTAGATGAAATAATTTTATACATACATGAATCATCATTTGGTACACAAAATTAGGTGAAAAATATTACACATATATGTTTATTCTCTAATTATAGGGAGAAAAACAAAAAACTGAATTTTTCGTGATATAACAAATACTCTCTCCGTTCTTAAATATCTGTTGTTTAATAAAACTAAAATATAATTAATATTTTTTCTATCAAATTTATTCTTAACTTTTTAATACATTAGATTAAGTGGAAGCTAAGTGTCTTTCATATTCTTTTTCTTCCCAATACGTATTGAATAAGAGTATTTTAATCTTGTGTAATTATTTTTTACTCATATTAAAACTATTTAATAACTTCTTTAATTCTTGTGCAAAAACCTGAAACGACATATATTTAGAACCGGAAGGATTTTGAAATAAAGGGAAAAGTTTCCATTCTCCTTGATGGATTTTGAAATAGGGGCGCTCAATGTGAGAAAACTGCAAAAACGTGGCTAAAGAGAGATTATTACCATCGATGTAAATGCAGACACAAAACAAGCAATAACGGTGTCCGCGTATAAAAGGGTTCTACAGTCAGGATAGAAATGGTGACGATCAACGGCTACTGTATTGCCCTAGTAGCTAAAAAGTTGCTGATGATGTTCACGAATACATGTACAAATTACTACATCTACAATAGCAAGTTGAAATACTAACCAATTCCAGCTCCCTATTTTTTCCAAACCCTCTTCCAGAGAATAGAAGACAAAAAGAATGAATGTAATTGAGATAATGAATATCCCGATCACCCTCGACTACATCTACTACTATGATATGACTATGGGTGATGATAGTCTAAGACCATAATGTACAATTGGGGGAGCACCACTAGGAAACGAGAGAAAAATATGTCAACAGAAGTCTATACAAAGTTAAGAGGGGTGAGACTTAATGCCACAGGAACTAAAAGAAGTTGGCCTGGAGGTGGAATATGAGGCGAGCAACCAGGGAACATCTGAGTGATTTGGGGGTATAGGATTTCGAAACACTTGGTTAGAGCTAAGCAGGCTAGAACCTTGATCCAATGAGCTGTATTCGAACAGACCTGGGGTTGACCTACCGTGACACATTATTATTCCTTTACAGGAGTCTTGGCTGCCACTAGTTCCAACGAGAGAACCCTCGTGTAATGGTTGCCTCATTGCATTAGTCCATGCCTCCTGTTCAGAAGATTAAGCAGGAGCTTGAAATATGCATTAAAGTTCAAAGTAGGAATTTTCTTCATTATAACAATCGAACGGAACTGCATGAGTTAGAAGAGTTGTAATTATGTTGTTGCACATTGATCTTCATTTTTAAAGAAAAAGTGTATGATGCATACCTTCTGCTGCTGTCCGAAGTCAGCACTGAAGGACAAAGTTGACATGCAACCTTCACCATATGGGGGGAACTGGGTTCTCATCTGTGGACAGGAATTGCGCAACTTATGGGGATATTGATCAGGGGTGCCAAACTGTGAACTTGGCCTGCCACTGACCCATTGCTCGCTACTCCTCAGCCTTAAATAGGCTGATGAGGAGTGATCCTGAGACCGGTAGTAATATGAATTGTGGTGCTCCTCCCTGCAAAATGTTAGAGGCAGTTTCCAATTTCCCAAGGAAAATGACCTGGCACCAAAGTCTTGGTTTTGTTGGAAGATCCAAGATGATCTAGCATATGACTGCCCAATGTAAGGACCATATGATAATGGAGTAATACTTTGGCAGTCCACATTTTGTGAGTGCCTCCTATCTGACAACCCCTGATAAGGTGTCCTTGTCCAGTCTTCAATTGCTATCCCCTGTTTTGCAGCAAGCTCTAATACCTGTTTCTCGTCAAGTCCTAAACTCATAAGCAAATTCCACAGGTTCCTCTGCGCTTCCCGTTGGTTGTAAATAATTTGATCTCTCATTGCCATTTCAAACTGAAGCTCTGTATTAGCCATTCCCTGCATTTATTATAGGGTTACATCGTTGATATGTGAATAGCAAGTTTGCTCAACCAGAAGAACAGTAACTCATGAAAATAGATGTAGCCGGTTGGCAGTCATCTCTTATGGAAAGTCAAGAAAATTGTGCTCAAACCAACATAGAAAAAAAAATGTGGGATGTAACATGAACCTATCTTCAAAGGCTTTTGCTTCAGGTGACATGCAAGCTTGGAGTACGTTGCGGTTGTATGAAGGAGATCCTTTTCCTCATTTTGGTTGGCAACAATAAATTCAATTATTAAAAAATTATTTTTAGTAGGCATTTAATCATGATCTTTGCATACAAGTTTAGGTTTCTATACTCAAGTAAATAATTTTAGATCAAAGTGCTCTTTGGTAGATATATTGTATCTGTTTACCAGAAGCCTGTATTGACTGAGAATTCGCAAGTAGGTTTTGTTGCCATTGTTACTTATAGCTTCCTCAATCATATCTTGTAGTTGGCACCTGCGCTTCTCATTTGCTTCAATTTCCTACAGGCAATAATATTCGTCAGAAGTGAACCAAAATAGAAACTACACACCATAAAACTAGGAGGGCATCACTTTTTGGTAATTGACACCAAGCTCGTCATTGTCACGAATATTATCCAGAACGACTTGCCGCCTTGCTCCTAAAGCCTGCACAACTGCTCCATCCTTTTCAATAGCCTGTGATATAGGAAAATGGCATTCTGTAATTATAATATGAGCAAAATTCAAAATAATTTTGGCAAGCCACCATATCCACAAGGAGGCACAGATGGTAGAGGAAAACAGCAAGAAATTTCTGCAAATGGTACTTCCGATACATGCTGGAAAAATTGGCAATAGAAGAGAAAAGTACAGTTCAGACAAATCAGCACTTCTACCTCGCTCCCTCGACTTCAGTAATTATGGACTTTTTGGCCGGGAATCATGAAAAAATAACAATGGGATACCTATGTCCTGCTGAAATTTCTGGGATGAGAAGAAAGAAAGCAAAATATCGAAATAACCATCAACCCAGATGTAGGAATTTAGTAGATTATTATCGTAAACAAGAACAACCGAAGGTTTACATGACATGAATTCAAACACAAGTGCCAAATGTGAATCTGCAACTAGATACCAAGTTTATATACCTACAGAGATATCTATAGGTTACGGTGTTGAATACATGTATAATTCCATCAAATCACTGTGAAGTTTCATACTACAACTGCCACTATCTAACCTGCTGTTTTGCTATAGCATCATCAAGATGTTGGAGTTCGCTGCGGTTACGAAGGTTGGTTTCCTCAAGTTCAAATAGAGCTTTCTGTAAGTTTATCCTCTCCTGAACATTTTCACTCGTTTCTTGGCTCAATATATTCAACCAAGACAATTCAGCATCCACTGTTTTCTCCGTAGGTTTGGCGCTTAGTCGCGATTCCTTTTCAGCTAATTCCTTTTTCAACCGGCAAACCTCTATCTGTACACTCAAATATGTCATTAATTTGATACACAAGCATAGGCATTGGAAGCATCATAAAGAGAATCTATCAAACAGCTCACCTGAAGACTGTCAATCATCCGTTGGTAATCTGACATATGGATATCAATTGTGCCTATATTTTTCTGACAAAGTATACAAAGATCTTTTCAATATGAATGAGCAACAAGTGTTCTGCTAGATAAAAATTCGTACAGACATTGTATTCACAAAAGGGTCCGTGAAAGAGCATATCCAACAAAACCAAGCCATAGTAGAGAACTAGGGGATAGAGAAGACACAAAAGGTACAGTACAGAATGACAATCAATGGAGGATTGCATATATTCAACCTTGTGATATTTTATAAATCAAAATCCAAAGGTCATGGTCTATTGATCATGTAGGGGATTTATCCGCGCGTTCGTAAGGGGGGGAAGACGACCCTCTTCCGATGTGGGAAGAGCTCCTGCGGGCGAAGAGGGGTAAAGGTTACTGGTGATTAACCCTGAATAACCCTCAAGAGGGGCGAAGCTAGGTCAGCCAAAATCCTTCCGTGGGGGGAGAACATCCCGAACGCCCGGATAAATTCCCAACAAAAAGGCGCCTTTTAGTGGGTACCTCCTCCATATGAAGCCAAGGCTTATATGCAAGGGGGGGAGACGACCCTCTTCCGATGTGGGACAAGCTCCTGTGGTAAGGCTACTGGTGAATAACCCTCAAGAGGAGCGAAGCCAGGTCAGCCAAAATCCTTTCGAAGGGAGGGAATCCTATCCACCAAAAGGCGCCTTTTTGTAGGAGATTTATCCGCGCGTTCGGGGTGTCCTCCCCCCACGGAAGGATTTTGACTTCGCCCCTCTTGAGGGTTATTCAGGGTTAATCACCTATAGCCTTTACCCCTCTTCGCCCGCAAGAACTTGTCCCCTTAATCACCGGTAGCCTTTACCCCTCTTCGCCCGCAGAAACTTGTCCCACATCGGAAGAGGGTCGTCTCCCCCCCTTGCATATGAAGCCAAGGCTTATATGCCACATCGGAAGAGGGTCGTCTAGTGGGTACCTCCTCCATATGAAGCCAAGGCTTATATGCAAGGGGGGAGACGACCCTCTTCCGATGTGGGACAAGCTCCTGTAGGCGAAGAGGGGTAAAGACTACTGGTGAATAACCCTCAAGAGGGGCGAAGCTAGGTCAGCCAAAATCCTTCCGTGGGGGGAGAACATCCCGAACACGCGGATAAATTCCCAACAAAAAGGCGCCTTTTAGTGGGTACCTCCTCCATATGAAGCCAAGGCTTATATGCAAGGGGGAGAGACGACCCTCTTCCGATGTGGGACAAGCTCCTGTGGTAAGGCTACTGGTGAATAACCCTCAAGAGGAGCGAAGCCAGGTCAGCCAAAATCCTTTCGAAGGGAGGGAATCCTATCCACCAAAAGGCGCCTTTTTGTAGGAGATTTATCCGCGCGTTCGGGGTGTCCTCCCCCCACGGAAGGATTTTGACTTCGCCCCTCTTGAGGGTTATTCAGGGTNGTTGGCAGTCATCTCTTATGGAAAGTCAAGAAAATTGTGCTCAAACCAACATAGAAAAAAAAATGTGGGATGTAACATGAACCTATCTTCAAAGGCTTTTGCTTCAGGTGACATGCAAGCTTGGAGTACGTTGCGGTTGTATGAAGGAGATCCTTTTCCTCATTTTGGTTGGCAACAATAAATTCAATTATTAAAAAATTATTTTTAGTAGGCATTTAATCATGATCTTTGCATACAAGTTTAGGTTTCTATACTCAAGTAAATAATTTTAGATCAAAGTGCTCTTTGGTAGATATATTGTATCTGTTTACCAGAAGCCTGTATTGACTGAGAATTCGCAAGTAGGTTTTGTTGCCATTGTTACTTATAGCTTCCTCAATCATATCTTGTAGTTGGCACCTGCGCTTCTCATTTGCTTCAATTTCCTACAGGCAATAATATTCGTCAGAAGTGAACCAAAATAGAAACTACACACCATAAAACTAGGAGGGCATCACTTTTTGGTAATTGACACCAAGCTCGTCATTGTCACGAATATTATCCAGAACGACTTGCCGCCTTGCTCCTAAAGCCTGCACAACTGCTCCATCCTTTTCAATAGCCTGTGATATAGGAAAATGGCATTCTGTAATTATAATATGAGCAAAATTCAAAATAATTTTGGCAAGCCACCATATCCACAAGGAGGCACAGATGGTAGAGGAAAACAGCAAGAAATTTCTGCAAATGGTACTTCCGATACATGCTGGAAAAATTGGCAATAGAAGAGAAAAGTACAGTTCAGACAAATCAGCACTTCTACCTCGCTCCCTCGACTTCAGTAATTATGGACTTTTTGGCCGGGAATCATGAAAAAATAACAATGGGATACCTATGTCCTGCTGAAATTTCTGGGATGAGAAGAAAGAAAGCAAAATATCGAAATAACCATCAACCCAGATGTAGGAATTTAGTAGATTATTATCGTAAACAAGAACAACCGAAGGTTTACATGACATGAATTCAAACACAAGTGCCAAATGTGAATCTGCAACTAGATACCAAGTTTATATACCTACAGAGATATCTATAGGTTACGGTGTTGAATACATGTATAATTCCATCAAATCACTGTGAAGTTTCATACTACAACTGCCACTATCTAACCTGCTGTTTTGCTATAGCATCATCAAGATGTTGGAGTTCGCTGCGGTTACGAAGGTTGGTTTCCTCAAGTTCAAATAGAGCTTTCTGTAAGTTTATCCTCTCCTGAACATTTTCACTCGTTTCTTGGCTCAATATATTCAACCAAGACAATTCAGCATCCACTGTTTTCTCCGTAGGTTTGGCGCTTAGTCGCGATTCCTTTTCAGCTAATTCCTTTTTCAACCGGCAAACCTCTATCTGTACACTCAAATATGTCATTAATTTGATACACAAGCATAGGCATTGGAAGCATCATAAAGAGAATCTATCAAACAGCTCACCTGAAGACTGTCAATCATCCGTTGGTAATCTGACATATGGATATCAATTGTGCCTATATTTTTCTGACAAAGTATACAAAGATCTTTTCAATATGAATGAGCAACAAGTGTTCTGCTAGATAAAAATTCGTACAGACATTGTATTCACAAAAGGGTCCGTGAAAGAGCATATCCAACAAAACCAAGCCATAGTAGAGAACTAGGGGATAGAGAAGACACAAAAGGTACAGTACAGAATGACAATCAATGGAGGATTGCATATATTCAACCTTGTGATATTTTATAAATCAAAATCCAAAGGTCATGGTCTATTGATCATGTAGGGGATTTATCCGCGCGTTCGTAAGGGGGGGAAGACGACCCTCTTCCGATGTGGGAAGAGCTCCTGCGGGCGAAGAGGGGTAAAGGTTACTGGTGATTAACCCTGAATAACCCTCAAGAGGGGCGAAGCTAGGTCAGCCAAAATCCTTCCGTGGGGGGAGAACATCCCGAACGCCCGGATAAATTCCCAACAAAAAGGCGCCTTTTAGTGGGTACCTCCTCCATATGAAGCCAAGGCTTATATGCAAGGGGGGGAGACGACCCTCTTCCGATGTGGGACAAGCTCCTGTGGGCGAAGAAGGGTAAAGGCTACTGGTGAATAACCCTCAAGAGGAGCGAAGCCAGGTTAGCCAAAATCCTTTCGAAGGGAGGGAATCCTATCCACCAAAAGGCGCCTTTTTGTAGGAGATTTATCCGCGCGTTCGGGATGTCCTCCCCCCACGGAAGGATTTTGGCTTCGCCCCTCTTGAGGGTTATTCAGGGTTAATCACTTATAGCCTTTACCCCTCTTCGCCCGCAAGAACTTGTCCCCTTAATCACCGGTAGCCTTTACCCCTCTTCGCCCGCAGAAACTTGTCCCACATCGGAAGAGGGTTGTCTCCCCCCCTTGCATATGAAGCCAAGGCTTATATGCCACATCGGAAGAGGGTCGTCTAGTGGGTACCTCCTCCATATGAAGCCAAGGCTTATATGCAAGGGGGGAGACGACCCTCTTCCGATGTGGGACAAGCTCCTGTAGGCGAAGAGGGGTAAAGACTACTGGTGAATAACCCTCAAGAGGGGCGAAGCCAGGTCAGCCAAAATCCTTCCGTGAGGGGAGGACATCAATCCCCTACAGATCTCTATCTACAACACTAACACGAAATGCCTGACAGAGTGAACTCGGAGCATAACAAGTGGCACCAAGGCTACCAGTTGCAAATAATTTTAGAATTTTAAGTTATAAAGTAACGATGTCCTGGAGACATCGCTTGTAATCTCCAATACACTGCTTGTTGGAAGAATGTCTTAAAAACTAGTTTGACATCAAGAGGTCATTGATGCCATCAAAAACTTGGATAAGCACACAAGTTGACGTGTTGTAGAGTGATACTGACATGTCAAACAGTAAACAACTAGAGACTTTCGATCAGCTTTGGGTTTCAAACTAAGAGGGCGGGTGGAGCCCTACCCCGTGTATGAATCTCCGCACCTTATTTATGTACACTATTTCATTGATGCGTACAATCAAAATGTAGACATGACTGTCACCTGGATGTGTGTCTTTATTTCCTTTGCTCGGTCAGCATACTTCAAGGTATTAACAGTGTGATGATACTGACTATTAGCAGGAGATATGGTAGCAATCATAACTGTTTGAGAATTTCCACTCAGACCATCTTTAAGAATCCGCGTCAGTTTGCTGGAAAAAGACCCTGGTTAGCAACATTAGCTGTGAAGGATCTATGCTACAATGATTATCATTCAGATACCTATTGCGGTAAGGAACATAGGCTAGACCCTTCTTCTGCTGTTTTCTCAAAGCATTTATGCAGTTTGCCAAAGCCAGAAGTGATCGGTTGATATTGGCACCATCTCTCAGCTTTTGGCCTCCACTATTTGTTTCAGAAGCTCGTTCACTGCACCATAACATCGTACAATATTACGTTACTGGTGCTGCAACTATTAACTACAGAAAGACTCAACCAGTTGGGGTAAAAGAAGTACTTCTGGGGATGAGGGATACCTGCCAGCAAGATCCACAAGGGCAAGTTTTCCTCTAATGATCTGATTTGAATATTTGTTTCTCTGTTTTCTTGTCACAGTTATCTCCAAAACTGCATGTGAGCTGCTCAAGAGATGCTAAAATTGTATCAGATCATGCAGAGGCATAAAGCTGCACATTGAAAGGGCCTCAACAAACTTTTCTACACTATTTGTGGAACTCAGATTAGTAAAGGTTAATGGATAATGTTTGTTCTATTGATAATGAAGATAATTGAAATTTTAATAGCACGTAGAACTCAGAAGAGCAATGCTANCATTGAAAGGGCCTCAACAAACTTTTCTACACTATTTGTGGAACTCAGATTAGTAAGGGTTAATGGATAATGTTTGTTCTATTGATAATGAAGATAATTGAAATTTTAATAGCACGTAGAACTCAGAAGAGCAATGCCATGTACACCAAAACTTGCACCTAAATCACTTGCAGCCTTGGATCAGTGGGTCTCATCACTGATCTAACGGCTGCACTTGATTTGGTACAAGTTTTGGTGCACAAATTTGGTGTACAAAGGATTACCCATAAATTAATAGACATATACATATATACATGTCCCTGAAATAAAACATGAATTTTACTGAAAACTGTGATAGTATCAGCAGTAAAATGTCACCCTCGGGCCCTATAAAATAAAGATGAGGCTTAAAATTTGAATTTCAATCATGGCACTCCTAAAAGGTTGTAGCAGCACATTGTGTAGATGTTATTTATCAAGGGAGAGAACTACATGAAAAAGTCATTCCTCTGGGCTCTGGCCAACTTACTAAAGATCATGCTTAGATCCGGGTTATGCCATGGACTCATATTATATTCACTTAAAGATTGCGGTAACATAATGCCATTGGAATTACTAACACAGATCACCCACCGAGAGGAAGTTTCATTCGCCCCTGTGCTTTCTGTTTTTCGTCTACTGTTCCCCGAATTCAAAAGTTCAAGAATCTTATCAGCTGACTTAACCTGAATACAATTAACAGGGTCATCATGCACGAACCAGTATCCTGACCATGGGCCAGAATATATAAATCTATGACTACAATACACAAGGACTCATTAAACTAAAGTGGAGAAACTAATGAATTGCTCTTAAAGAATAAATCAAAAGAAACCAGGTCACACAGCCAAAAGAGCATATCATAACTTAGAGCATGTCATTGGAAGTCAACATCAAATTTTTCAGGCCAGCTACGTGGTACTCTGACAAATAAACAAAAATAAGAACTATAAATAGATATTATTACATCACTAGATAGTGGAGAAACCGATGAGTGATGCTTCGGATTTTTCTGCATACAGAATTACCAGGATGCCTATGGCATAAATTTTTCAGAAAATTGGGCAAAACCACATGTGGTTTTGTTGCCTCTGGGCAAAGCGTCTACCCAACCAAGACAAGAAATGTTCACAAGCACAAATGCATGTAAGGGACAATTTTGTTATTAGAACTTCAAAAAAGAGCTCTTTTTTCATTATCATTTCTGTATCTTCTCTGTTTGCGTGTGGGGGGTGGGTAACTCAGGCGCACACCTTGGGAATGGACCATTGGGAAATAAGATCATAAAATTGAAAGAAGCCCAGTTTTATTATATCCTGATTAACCATTTAGTTTACATGCATAATTGAGATGACAAAAGATGCATCTCATTGTGCCAACTAAAAAGAAGTGCAGCTTTCTGAAATAGCTATGTAACAAAATTGATGACTTCAATGTACATGTAACAACCAAATGGTGAATTAGTGTACATAATACATTATATAAGTTGAGTTTTTTAATGAAATAGAAGATGTAAATTAAATAATAAAAAAAATAAAGTTCCTAATTTTATTATATCCTCAGGATATAGCTGCAGTGAATAAACTAGGTGCAGCGGAATGACATAGGAACAACAGATTGACAGGTGTTGATTGTACTTTATATAATCTTCTGAAATATGAGGCTTTAAGTGTGCAATTGTCCCAAAAAAACAAACAAACATCCCACATCTGTTGGGATATGCATTTCAAGGACATCATTTATGAAAATTTTGAAGCACAGCCAATCAAACTGATACTGCAAAGAGGATGACCTTGATACATCTAAGGCCAGCAACTACTATTCCTTGCTCTGGATCCTCTCTGAGTTCCAAGTGACCCGCTGATTTTTCAAGCAAATCATAGATAACCTGCATCCGTACGAAACAGAGGTTAAAACATTCGTAAACTAAGTGTTCAAAGTCAAAAAGTCAAACTTCCTTATCAAATGGATGCCCTACTTCATTGTAGACTTCAAGGTAGGAACAAGAAACTTCAAAAATATCAGAGCTATTGTCCTTTTTAATAAGATCAAAAATTGTATGCAGACTGAGAACCATAAGTCCTGGATCATCTTGAGTTCCAACCATTGAGTACGTTTTACCGCTGCAAACATGGAGTAAATATTAGATCCTAAACGAGAAGAAATTCAACAAACGGAGTGTACAAATTGCACCAAAATTGACAAAAAAAAGGAATTTGGATTTGTTTTTAACTTTTTAGGCCAGTTGGAGTGAAGTTTCACCATTTAAGAAACTTTTTTCAGGTACCTCCAGTGTTGCGTGTGTGCATGTAGTTTTAGTTTCACCACTTTATATCTCCCCCACCCCCACAAGAAAACAGGTAAACAGAAGGTAATCTATTTGAAGGTGAAAACATAACGAAGACCCAAAAATAGTTTTTTAAGATGAGACTGCTTGTGTGTGTGCGTGTGGATGGGGTGTGTGGGTGTGTGTGTGGGTGAGAGAGAGAGAGAGAGAGAGAAAGGAACAAACTCAACCTTCAGAGTGTTTAGTACAAGGGAAGGAACACATATTTCAAATACCTCCCAGTAGAACCATATGCAAATACAGTTGCGTTGAGACCTTGAATGACCCCAGCAATTGTAGAAGATATACTTCTCTCATAGACATCCTGCATAAAGCAGCATCATTTTACATATCAGCCATAAAGCCCATAATGAAAACAACATCAGAATAATGCAAAAAATGTCTGCGTATTTCTTTTGTTGACCACTTATGTATTTGATGTCTCTCCAAGCCATTGTAAGGTAACTAGCATGTCCTATGTATCAGTGGCACGAATAAGCCAATATAAACAAAATAATACTTCCATTTCTGCAGTTGTAAAATTGGGAACTTATTAATTACATTGAGAATTGAGGTTTATACACATTAACCCATCGAGCTCTAATATTTCGGCCACCAAACTTTGCACAAAGAAAAATACACATAGCATTCAGATGTTAATTGCAGCCACTATAAGTTATAACATACTTTAGAACTGGAGCATTGGAGCATTAATGTATGACAAATGAAATCGAAATTCCAAACCAAATAAAACAGACTCTACATACAGAATTCTTGGAGGCAGGACCAAATGCGAAATCAAAACAATATCTTCGCTCTTTGGTTCGATTTTGTATGCGATCAAGGTAGTCCTTTGACAGGTCAGGATCCAAAACAAGTACCTCCTACAAACGCACTCTCACTCTCACGGATCAGACAATTTTTCATTACTTTAACTTAAGTAGCAGCTGTTAGATCACAGAAATCAAACATAAACCATAACAAAGAAGAAAAACTGGCACACCTTATTGTTGTTCACTCGAACAATATCACGACCTCGTTCTCTCTCTGTCAGTGGCCTACATTTGACAGCCACCTACCGGAAACAACTCAGTAAGATTACAGTGAGATAATACAATCAAGAAAAAATGTCCGCAAAGAAACAATGTAAAGCCACGCCAATTAATCTGAAGCAAAAATTATAGACTAACCGTAAGTGTGGTGGTTTTCTTAGTAGCCGGAGCTCTAATGCTTGGCATTTTTGATCAACCATTCGCCTCCACCAAAATCACCATTCAAATTTTCAGGTCCCGAGCTCGTTCTGAAACTTGAAACACACTTTTTTTAACCCAAAGTTCTAAACCCCAATCCTCAGGCCATTCTGAAATTCGTGTTCTACTACAGAGAATCACAACTTGGAATTGAAACCTCTGAATTCACACACTTCCTCCTTAAGAACAACTATGAAAATCCTAAAGTTAATAATTCAAGCAGCACACGTTCTAACGAGATGCCAAAATCTTCCCATTCGCAATCCAAAACTGGCAAACACGAACAAAAACCCTAGACCTCAATCCTAGCTCCTAACGATATACCTCTGCAATTATGGATTACATATATCGACCACAAACCAAAAGCATTTCACCTCCAAATCTACACATTTCCATTAATCACCAATCACAGGTCAAAAGAACACTCATCTCAACTTGTTTGATTGAATTCTCTCAAGAAAACAATCTCTTTCCAGCTCAAACCGCTAGATTCCAGGAAACGGGATGAATTCCCAAACCAGAAAACCGAAAAAAAAAAAAAAGACAAAAGAAGGCGTTGGAGAGAGAGCGATTGGGTTTTGCTTTTGCATTCAATTTGGTGGATTAGGGAGACTGGTAACGGCATTACATTGCATTTGACGCGGGGAACTGAAATTAATGAATGCTTTGTTTTGGAAATGGTATGGACGTGACTGTTTGTAGGTGTGAGATAGTGAGTGGGGGCGATCGTGACCGTTGATTATTTGTATTGTGATTAGCAAAAGGCCGTGTTTGGATTTTACCTTACTCTTTTATGTTGATTTGCTGGCTACTACTTTTCCGTTCGTTGAGCTCGTAATTATTTTTCTACCTTTTCAAGTATAAACCAAAAAAAGCCAGAGTCCAATGCATAATATCAAAATATTAATTAATTTTTTAAATAAATTTAAAAAATTATTCAAACAGAATTCATTTAAAAAATGTGTTGAACCCAAAATAAGCCGAACTCTAACTAATAATAATTCGATTATTTTATATATAAATGAGTCTGAATTTTTTAAACGAGTCTTAAAAATTATTTAAATTTGACTCATGTTCTACTTGGTTCATTTAGAACACGAATCGAGCTCAAGGCAAGTTTTATTCGAATCGAACCCGAATAACTCGACTCAATTACAAACCCTATTATTATCTAGAATTTATTCACATTAGTAGATTAATTTGATTCGTAGTAGATTTAAAGTTCTAAAATTTCAACATAATTAAATCTTTTGATGTGTATGAATCTTGATCATTTAAAAGAAAGTTGACAAATCCTCTAATTCTTCGGAAGATAAGTCTAACTCTCTCGTCTCACTTCATCTTGATGAAATAAGAATCTTATTAATCATTTGAAATCAGATCATAAAAAATTTATGTTTCATGAATATCTTAGTCAGTAAACAATCTGTTTTTGACTAGAAAAAAAAATTAATCGAAATACACATAAACTGTAATATATTGTGTGCTGCGAGAGGTAGTTGTGACAAAAATAGTGATGGAGGCAATGACAATAGTGATAATAGGACGGTGATCTCGATGGTAGTNCCCACCCCCACAAGAAAACAGGTAAACAGAAGGTAATCTATTTGAAGGTGAAAACATAACGAAGACCCAAAAATAGTTTTTTAAGATGAGACTGCTTGTGTGTGTGCGTGTGGATGGGGTGTGTGGGTGTGTGTGTGGGTGAGAGAGAGAGAGAGAGAGAGAAAGGAACAAACTCAACCTTCAGAGTGTTTAGTACAAGGGAAGGAACACATATTTCAAATACCTCCCAGTAGAACCATATGCAAATACAGTTGCGTTGAGACCTTGAATGACCCCAGCAATTGTAGAAGATATACTTCTCTCATAGACATCCTGCATAAAGCAGCATCATTTTACATATCAGCCATAAAGCCCATAATGAAAACAACATCAGAATAATGCAAAAAATGTCTGCGTATTTCTTTTGTTGACCACTTATGTATTTGATGTCTCTCCAAGCCATTGTAAGGTAACTAGCATGTCCTATGTATCAGTGGCACGAATAAGCCAATATAAACAAAATAATACTTCCATTTCTGCAGTTGTAAAATTGGGAACTTATTAATTACATTGAGAATTGAGGTTTATACACATTAACCCATCGAGCTCTAATATTTCGGCCACCAAACTTTGCACAAAGAAAAATACACATAGCATTCAGATGTTAATTGCAGCCACTATAAGTTATAACATACTTTAGAACTGGAGCATTGGAGCATTAATGTATGACAAATGAAATCGAAATTCCAAACCAAATAAAACAGACTCTACATACAGAATTCTTGGAGGCAGGACCAAATGCGAAATCAAAACAATATCTTCGCTCTTTGGTTCGATTTTGTATGCGATCAAGGTAGTCCTTTGACAGGTCAGGATCCAAAACAAGTACCTCCTACAAACGCACTCTCACTCTCACGGATCAGACAATTTTTCATTACTTTAACTTAAGTAGCAGCTGTTAGATCACAGAAATCAAACATAAACCATAACAAAGAAGAAAAACTGGCACACCTTATTGTTGTTCACTCGAACAATATCACGACCTCGTTCTCTCTCTGTCAGTGGCCTACATTTGACAGCCACCTACCGGAAACAACTCAGTAAGATTACAGTGAGATAATACAATCAAGAAAAAATGTCCGCAAAGAAACAATGTAAAGCCACGCCAATTAATCTGAAGCAAAAATTATAGACTAACCGTAAGTGTGGTGGTTTTCTTAGTAGCCGGAGCTCTAATGCTTGGCATTTTTGATCAACCATTCGCCTCCACCAAAATCACCATTCAAATTTTCAGGTCCCGAGCTCGTTCTGAAACTTGAAACACACTTTTTTTAACCCAAAGTTCTAAACCCCAATCCTCAGGCCATTCTGAAATTCGTGTTCTACTACAGAGAATCACAACTTGGAATTGAAACCTCTGAATTCACACACTTCCTCCTTAAGAACAACTATGAAAATCCTAAAGTTAATAATTCAAGCAGCACACGTTCTAACGAGATGCCAAAATCTTCCCATTCGCAATCCAAAACTGGCAAACACGAACAAAAACCCTAGACCTCAATCCTAGCTCCTAACGATATACCTCTGCAATTATGGATTACATATATCGACCACAAACCAAAAGCATTTCACCTCCAAATCTACACATTTCCATTAATCACCAATCACAGGTCAAAAGAACACTCATCTCAACTTGTTTGATTGAATTCTCTCAAGAAAACAATCTCTTTCCAGCTCAAACCGCTAGATTCCAGGAAACGGGATGAATTCCCAAACCAGAAAACCGAAAAAAAAAAAAAAGACAAAAGAAGGCGTTGGAGAGAGAGCGATTGGGTTTTGCTTTTGCATTCAATTTGGTGGATTAGGGAGACTGGTAACGGCATTACATTGCATTTGACGCGGGGAACTGAAATTAATGAATGCTTTGTTTTGGAAATGGTATGGACGTGACTGTTTGTAGGTGTGAGATAGTGAGTGGGGGCGATCGTGACCGTTGATTATTTGTATTGTGATTAGCAAAAGGCCGTGTTTGGATTTTACCTTACTCTTTTATGTTGATTTGCTGGCTACTACTTTTCCGTTCGTTGAGCTCGTAATTATTTTTCTACCTTTTCAAGTATAAACCAAAAAAAGCCAGAGTCCAATGCATAATATCAAAATATTAATTAATTTTTTAAATAAATTTAAAAAATTATTCAAACAGAATTCATTTAAAAAATGTGTTGAACCCAAAATAAGCCGAACTCTAACTAATAATAATTCGATTATTTTATATATAAATGAGTCTGAATTTTTTAAACGAGTCTTAAAAATTATTTAAATTTGACTCATGTTCTACTTGGTTCATTTAGAACACGAATCGAGCTCAAGGCAAGTTTTATTCGAATCGAACCCGAATAACTCGACTCAATTACAAACCCTATTATTATCTAGAATTTATTCACATTAGTAGATTAATTTGATTCGTAGTAGATTTAAAGTTCTAAAATTTCAACATAATTAAATCTTTTGATGTGTATGAATCTTGATCATTTAAAAGAAAGTTGACAAATCCTCTAATTCTTCGGAAGATAAGTCTAACTCTCTCATCTCACTTCATCTTGATGAAATAAGAATCTTATTAATCATTTGAAATCAGATCATAAAAAATTAATGTTTCATGAATATCTTAGTCATATATGTGAACAATCTGTTTTTGACTAGAAAAAAAAATTAATCGAAATACACATAAACTGTAATATATTGTGTGTTGCGAGAGATAGTTGTGACAAAAATAGTGATGGAGGCAATGACAATAGTGGTGATAGGACGGTGATCTCGATGATAATGGCGATAAATGTAGCGGTGGGTTGAAAATGGTGGCAGTGGCGATGCTAATTTCGTTTTCGAGAACACACTTGTTTCTGGAACCATTTCAAAAATATAATAAATAAATAATCATAAAACACAATTTGTTTCTGGTTTTCACAAAAACTAAAACCGAAAATAGAAAAACCCACGACGAATTTGTTATCTAGTATTAAGCGGTACCATGACATTACGTGCACATAATCTAGACCAATGATCAAACCGAATCAAGCTTTTGTCCAACTTCAGTCAGCATATACTGTACTACCACTGAATTTAAAGGTTTTGCGAGTACATTTTGCCAGCACCAACACAATGTCAATCCTATTCATTTCTGTCGGTATGCATTATTTTTCATTTATTTATTTTTATATTGTCATCAAATACATTCGAATNTTTAAAAGAAAGTTGACAAATCCTCTAATTCTTCGGAAGATAAGTCTAACTCTCTCATCTCACTTCATCTTGATGAAATAAGAATCTTATTAATCATTTGAAATCAGATCATAAAAAATTAATGTTTCATGAATATCTTAGTCATATATGTGAACAATCTGTTTTTGACTAGAAAAAAAAATTAATCGAAATACACATAAACTGTAATATATTGTGTGTTGCGAGAGATAGTTGTGACAAAAATAGTGATGGAGGCAATGACAATAGTGGTGATAGGACGGTGATCTCGATGATAATGGCGATAAATGTAGCGGTGGGTTGAAAATGGTGGCAGTGGCGATGCTAATTTCGTTTTCGAGAACACACTTGTTTCTGGAACCATTTCAAAAATATAATAAATAAATAATCATAAAACACAATTTGTTTCTAGTTTTCACAAAAACTAAAACCGAAAATAGAAAAACCCACGACGAATTTGTTATCTAGTATTAAGCGGTACCATGACATTACGTGCACATAATCTAGACCAATGATCAAACCGAATCAAGCTTTTGTCCAACTTCAGTCAGCATATACTGTACTACCACTGAATTTAAAGGTTTTGCGAGTACATTTTGCCAGCACCAACACAATGTCAATCCTATTCATTTCTGTCGGTATGCATTATTTTTTATTTATTTATTTTTATATTGTCATCAAATACATTCGAATTAATTTACATACATTTTAATTAATTTTTTTTAAGTCTTCTACACTAACACTAAAATATTATCATCTGACCCTAAAAAAATAATTAAATTTTAAAGTTAACACATCTGAATTTATAACTCCCTAGTGTCTCTACGATCACTGCAAAATCAATGATATCCCAGCGCATTATTGCGAGTTTGGTGACTTCTCAAATTGATGGTGGGCCACTTTTCCTCGGCAAACACATGTACTGCATGAATATATTTAATGGATACAATACAGTTAGTGAATGATACGAGTGCACAATTTTTTATTTTTTTTTAACTACTGGCACTGGGAAACAAAAAAAACACTTAACTATGCATTGGCTTCGTTTCTATTGTCGCTTTTATTGTCAGGTGGTCCAAGGATGATGAATGACATGAGAGAACAAGCCCGCCAACAAAAAGGGGACACTTCCAGCCTGACCCACAGTTGCGGCTCACCAAATCTTTGGCAGATTGGCTCCGGTCTGCTGGCCCACTGAAGGCACAAACATCCTGGCAGCTTAGCCCGAGGCTGCAAGGTTGTGCCAGGTTTGAGTGTCCGGCCGGCAGCCCAGCTCAATCACTCCATATAGGACTAATGGTCAAGATCAGGCCCGACGCTTAGGGCCTTCTCCTCAGTTGTAGTTGTAAGATTTGGTGACCCGAAATTAACTTGACTTCACTGAGAGGTCTCATCTCTAAAAACCCGGCTCGCAAGGAGTTCGTAGAATTCCAAACCTCGCCTTGTATGTTTCCCTTCTCTATTCCGAAGTAAAAGGTGAGTCACATGCGTTAGTTTGTGAATCTCAGTCTCACACTAATCCCTACAAGTGTCTGTAGTAGGCCAGTCATCCTACTTAAACCAATCATCATGTCAGTCCTTAGACCCATTGCTGGAATGGCTCAGCTTCAAAACCGTACGTAGAGTTTTCACCTCACACAGCTCCTCTAGGGATGGAGGTAGGCCCAGCCCAGCTTGTTTTACCATAAATTCAATAGTAAAACACCTACCATAAGTTCCTCTCAACCGTAGGCATAATTCCTATCAATGGTAAAACACCTACCATAAATTCAAAAAAGTTTTAAGTATTGATATACTATTGAGGAAAAAAAACATACTGGAGGGGAGCTGGATTTCAACTAATGAGGCTTTTGCTGAGAGATTTCAAATCTCCTACTCCATGGCCAGGTTTCCTTTCCTCTATAATGATCAGGTCATCTGTAAAAGATAAATAAATAAATCACTCTGTGCTGGTATATGGACCTTCACATTGATCAAACAAAGGGAAAATACCAAAAAGCAAGAAAAAAACATAGAGACACGAGGCCTGAGAGTGTGACATATAAGGTGCAAAGTGAGTTAGCAGAGCAAAAGCAGAGAGATCTACAGGAATAATCACCTCACCAGATTATGGAAGGCAGAACAGGACTATACCCTGAATGTTGAGTCTTTTAACCTATGATCTTTTAGTATACAAAGATATGAACATATCCCTTAGAGTCAGATTCCATAAGAACATTAACCATACCCCTGAATCAGCACATAAATGGGGTAAGGTCTATAGTGTACTTATTTTCTACCTCGATGTTAAAATGAAGTTCTCCGCTTTAGGTAAAAACAGAACTATTCATTAATTCCACAGTAGTAGAGGCACGGTTGATGTCTCACCTGTTCCGTGAAGTAAAATACTCTGCTGACTTGGCAAACCACTTCCCAGGTTGAAAACACCCAAATTATGAAGATGGCAATGTAACCATACATCACAAATACAAATTCTTTTCTTAAACAAAATTTTACAAAAATAAATGAAGACACGGCTGGTGCGATCTCCCCTTCCTCATCTTCTTGGGACTGCAAGAAATTCAACTATCGCAAGTGGAAATTGTGCTCAAGCTCAGAAGCAGATGAATAAGCTCCAGAGTAAACGTGAACCAAAATATATTCCTCAGATATTTGACTTTCCTCCAGCAAAACCCTTTCATCCACCAGTGATGCCTATCCAGATCCGTTAACATGCTTGGGTGAATGAACTTCATAACTCCACTTTCATGATGTACTCCAAACATTTCTACTTGGTTAACAATCCCAAAAAAATTGAATAAACACAGTGGAATTCGCTTATCTCCACATGCTAAAAATAGGAACAATTAGGTACATGGCAAGAAAAATTAATTGATTGACAGTATTGGAGAGTCATAACCAGAGAGGAGCAAATCTTTGGTCGCTTACCACCTTTGCAGCCTAAGAGAAGGAGAGCAGAGACAAGCTACACACCATGTAAGAAAGCTAGCAGTAATAGACGAATGCATTCAATCAAAATTAATAAAAAAAAGGGAAGAAAAAAAAGAAGAGGATGAGGCAGGTATACATTTAAAGTTTAGAAAACTACAATCCTTCAAGTAAATACAAAAAAAAACTCTCAAGTTTTCACAATTTTTTTTTTTTTATTTGAAGTCTTTCACAAAAATAAATAATGGACAAACAAAGCCCCTTCTAAACAGTACAAGTACATAACCACTTTCGTGAACACAACAGTATATACCTATTTACATGTGAACCTGCTTCACAAATTTTTTACGGATGCATATGCAGAAACATGTATGTCACAGCACTCTGCATTCCAGGAGAAGTCCTTTCTNTAGTATTAAGCGGTACCATGACATTACGTGCACATAATCTAGACCAATGATCAAACCGAATCAAGCTTTTGTCCAACTTCAGTCAGCATATACTGTACTACCACTGAATTTAAAGGTTTTGCGAGTACATTTTGCCAGCACCAACACAATGTCAATCCTATTCATTTCTGTCGGTATACATTATTTTTTATTTATTTATTTTTATATTGTCATCAAATACATTCGAGTTAATTTACATACATTTTAATTAATTTTTTTTAAGTCTTCTACACTAACACTAAAATATTATCATCTGACCCTAAAAAAATAATTAAATATTAAAGTTAACACATCTGAATTTATAACTCCCTATGTCCCTACGATCACTGCACAATCAATGATATCCCAGCGCGTTATTGCGAGTTTGGTGACTTCTCAAATTGATGGTGGGCCACTTTCCTCAGCAAACACATGTACTGCATGAATATATTTAATGGATACAATACAGTTAGTGAATGATACGAGTGCACAATTTTTTATTATTTTTTAACTACTGGCACTGGGAAACAAAAAAAAACACTTAACTATGCATTGGGTTCGTTTCTATTGTCGCTTTTATTGTCAGGTGGTCCAAGGATGATGAATGACATGACAGAACAAGCCCGCCAACAAAAAGGGAACACTTCCAGCCTGACCCACAGTGGCGGCTCACCTANGCTTTAGGTAAAAACAGAACTATTCATTAATTCCACAGTAGTAGAGGCACGGTTGATGTCTCACCTGTTCCGTGAAGTAAAATACTCTGCTGACTTGGCAAACCACTTCCCAGGTTGAAAACACCCAAATTATGAAGATGGCAATGTAACCATACATCACAAATACAAATTCTTTTCTTAAACAAAATTTTACAAAAATAAATGAAGACACAGNAATCACTCCATATAGGACTAATGGTCAAGATCAGGCCCGACGCTTAGGGCCTTCTCGTCGGTTGTAGTTGTAAGATTTGGTGACCCGAAATTAACTTGACTTCACTAAGAGGTCTCATCTCTACAAACCCGGCTCGCAAGGAGTTCGTAGAATTCCAAACCTCGCCTTGTATGTTTCCCTTCTCTATTCCGAAGTAAAAGGTGAGTCACATGCGTTAGTTTGTGAATCTCAGTCTCACACTAATCCCTACAAGTGTCTGTAGTAGGCCAGTCATCCTACTTAAACCAATCATCATGTCAGTCCTTAGACCCATTGCTGGAATGGCTCAGCTTCAAAACCGTACGTAGAGTTTTCACCTCACACAGCTCCTCTAGGGATGGAGGTAGGCCCAGCCCAGCTTGTTTTACCATAAATTCAATAGTAAAACACCTACCATAAGTTCCTCTCAACCGTAGGCATAATTCCTATCAATGGTAAAACACCTACCATAAATTCAAAAAAGTTTTAAGTATTGATATACTATTGAGGAAAAAAAACATACTGGAGGGGAGCTGGATTTCAACTAATGAGGCTTTTGCTGAGAGATTTCAAATCTCCTACTCCATGGCCAGGTTTCCTTTCCTCTATAATGATCAGGTCATCTGTAAAAGATAAATAAATAAATCACTCTGTGCTGGTATATGGACCTTCACATTGATCAAACAAAGGGAAAATACCAAAAAGCAAGAAAAAAACATAGAGACACGAGGCCTGAGAGTGTGACATATAAGGTGCAAAGTGAGTTAGCAGAGCAAAAGCAGAGAGATCTACAGGAATAATCACCTCACCAGATTATGGAAGGCAGAACAGGACTATACCCTGAATGTTGAGTCTTTTAACCTATGATCTTTTAGTATACAAAGATATGAACATATCCCTTAGAGTCAGATTCCATAAGAACATTAACCATACCCCTGAATCAGCACATAAATGGGGTAAGGTCTATAGTGTACTTATTTTCTACCTCGATGTTAAAATGAAGTTCTCCGCTTTAGGTAAAAACAGAACTATTCATTAATTCCACAGTAGTAGAGGCACGGTTGATGTCTCACCTGTTCCGTGAAGTAAAATACTCTGCTGACTTGGCAAACCACTTCCCAGGTTGAAAACACCCAAATTATGAAGATGGCAATGTAACAATACATCACAAATACAAATTCTTTTCTTAAACAAAATTTTACAAAAATAAATGAAGACACAGCTGGTGCGATCTCCCCTTCCTCATCTTCTTGGGACTGCAAGAAATTCAACTATCGCAAGTGGAAATTGTGCTCAAGCTCAGAAGCAGATGAATAAGCTCCAGAGTAAACGTGAACCAAAATATATTCCTCAGATATTTGACTTTCCTCCAGCAAAACCCTTTCATCCACCAGTGATGCCTATCCAGATCCGTTAACATGCTTGGGTGAATGAACTTCATAACTCCACTTTCATGATGTACTCCAAACATTTCTACTTGGTTAACAATCCCAAAAAAATTGAATAAACACAGTGGAATTCGCTTATCTCCACATGCTAAAAATAGGAACAATTAGGTACATGGCAAGAAAAATTAATTGATTGACAGTATTGGAGAGTCATAACCAGAGAGGAGCAAATCTTTGGTCGCTTACCACCTTTGCAGCCTAAGAGAAGGAGAGCAGAGACAAGCTACACACCATGTAAGAAAGCTAGCAGTAATAGACGAATGCATTCAATCAAAATTAATAAAAAAAGGGAAGAAAAAAAAGAAGAGGATGAGGCAGGTATACATTTAAAGTTTAGAAAACTACAATCCTTCAAGTAAATACAAAAAAAAAAACTCTCAAGTTTTCACAATTTTTTTTTTTATTTGAAGTCTTTCACAAAAATAAATAATGGACAAACAAAGCCCCTTCTAAACAGTGCAGGTACATAACCACTTTCGTGAACACAACAGTATATACCTATTTACATGTGAAGCTTCACAAATTTTTTACGGATGCATATGCAGAAACATGTATGTCACAGCACTCTGCATCCCAGGAGAAGTCCTTTGTCATTGCCTCCTTTATCTTTCTATACCATTGTGATGGGTTGTTCTTCTGCAAACACCCGAGACAACAAAGATTGAAAATTTTAGCAACATTGTCCTTTCTAAGTAAGAGGATTTCCTCCACGAAAAAGACAAAATTTTCATTGATTTAGCTTTTTTACTTTTTTCTTTTTTGATGGGGCTTGGGGAGAGAGAAAGAAAAGGAAAACTTTACGGCTGTGCAAGGAAATACACACAATTTCATCAATCGCTTGGCTTAACGACACATTTGCAAAGGTATTGCTGATGTACAGTGAGAATTTGGTGCTCTCGAAACCATGATCACGAAAATGCCTGTTGACATGTAATTCCACACAAAATATTTCCTTCTCAATGAGCTAAACAATTGGAATTACAGATATTTATTCAGTTAATTTGAAATCTTCACCAGTTTACCTGAATCTGTTGTCATCAAAATTTACTGCAACAGGAGCGGCTCCGTACTTTATAGCCTTGAGCTAAATAATTGGAATTAAGAAGAGGATTCCAATAAATAAAAACAAACTTTCATGATAACATCTATGCACATAAGATGTAATTTAGCAACTACACGGAAACAAACAAAAAATTGAAAATTTTGTAGAAATGTAGCACCATTGAAGAGAAAATATGTGAAAGTTGCCTAAGATTTGCCCACTATGGAGAACATAATACCAATGACTTCATCAAGAAGTGTCTGTTAGAGCTTAGCTCTTGTTGGCTTCTCCTCTCATTGCCAATTGGTTTTGAATTGGATAGGTAAGTATGGTATCAAAGTTCGGTTTTTCGAAGACTTTGGGCTACACTCTTTGTTCAATTTCATCATGTTGTATAGTTCTTCTGTCTTCCACTTCACGCACAAGTGAGAGTTGTGGCAGACACAAACCCTGACCCACCCTCCCAATTAGGAAGTTCATGTGAAGTCTCTAGTTCCATCATTGTTACACGTAAAAAGAGGCCACCACACCATTTGAAAAGGTGGAACTCATTCCCTTATTTTAAGGCACAAGTGTAACAACTTACAAGCTATTTGATGTTGCAGCGCTGCAAATCTAGCATTGACCTTTTGTTGAATTTAATTATGACTTTTTATTAAAAAATAGTACTCCCGTGAGCACAGCAACATGTGGGGATGACCATTTCCATGGTGCTATGTTTTCACAACAAAGGAAAAAATTCTGTTAACTGCAGGGAGAACTCCATCTGCCCAAATTTGAGTACCCTGTGTCCCGTATCAGAGTCTGAATGACAACAATATTTTTTTTTCCCGGAGGGCAGGTTCAGGAGGAGGTAAAACCCAACAGTTGCCATTCTATGTGCTGCACATACAGTTGCATGTAGTATATGCATGTGACATATATAACACTGTCCCATATCAGTGTCTGAATGGGTAAGGGGATATTATCTTTCCCCAGTGCACAGGTTCAGGAGGAGGTAAAACCCACTAGTTGCTACATATTGCATATACAGTGGCATGTTGGATATGCATATCACATATAAAGCTTCTGCATGGCTCCGTTAAAAAGGTCAGCAATAAAGGCCCCATAGTCCCAAATAGTATATTTTCAAATAAAAACTAAATGTGGTGAGTGCAGAAGTGCTACTGAGGTTTTGGGTACACTATCTTCCATTACACATACCGGTACATGGAGCACTGGATCATCGAAAGAAGGGCACAAGATAATGTCACATCCTGCAAAGACTAAATGTGACAACGCTTCATCATGTTTGTTTAAAAATCTAGCATTCTCGTCCTGCAGCCATGGTAGACAAGAAGTAGTGATTAATTCCCAATAATTTCTAACGGGCTTCATGAAACAAATTCTGACATGATAAATAATTATGCAACCCGTCATTCTCATCTAGCCTAAAATGACTATATTGAAGACAACTGTAGGAAAAATTATGTGCATTGAATCAAATACCATAGAAAAATAAAGACTAAAATGTGATCTGCAAAGATGAATAAAAAGAATAAAAAAAATGGCAAAGAGAGGTGACATGGGGCATACACCCATTAAGCTGAGGCGTAAGAGGTATACAACTAGACTTTGCTCGTGACTTGCCTTGGGTATTCCCATAGCAGCCTGCTGCTTAGTTCATAATTTCATTGCATTCTCGATATACCTCGCCACTGATGGTGAGCCTTTAAAAAATCTTTTCATAGTTGATATTTTCGTTGCAATCTCGAACTACCTTGCCCTTGATGGTGGGTGGTGTGGGCCTTTGGAAAAAACTTATTCAAAGTTTTTTTTTTTGGCAGGAAGGTGATACTTTTGGTGAAAAGATACTTTATAGTAAAGGGAAAAGAGAGATTGCTTAAGATCAGTTAGATGAGTATGTAGTTGATCTAGCTGGGAAAATAACTTTGATTACTAAGGTGGCCCTAGATAAAGGGCAGCCCAATGCAAGAGACTCCCACAAGTTCACCTCATGTGCATGATAACTAGACAACAAAGGACACAGTAAAATGAAGGCAAGTGATTCTTTTACCTTGAGTTCTTCCTGAAAGGATTCCAGTGCCCTGTTTATGCCTGGAACTTTTCCAACCCCCATGAAGATAAACTGCAGAAAATCCTGACAAATCATATAAACGACAAATATTGGATAGACTTAACACTATCCAAACATGGAACCTTTTCTGGCTGATTGGCCCATCAATTATTTATGTTGAAGCAAAAACATAAATAAATAACCGACAATCACAGAATTTCATATCAATAATAACATTAACCAGTCCAGTCTCCAATAAAATTAAGCTAATGAATCATGTTTCGTTGAAAAGGAAAATTTCAGCTGTCAGATAGCAACAACCTGAACACCTCTCCTGGAAGCAATCCAAACAAGTCTTTTGAGGTTCTCCAGATCGATATCTGAAACATCTGAAAATATGCATCCAACCTGATTGATAATAAACCATTTTTAAGATGTGCTATAACTACAATGATCGATTGTGCAGAGAAAATAGTGAAACCTACTTTCAAAAAATTGTAGGTGGTTAGCCACTCAAATATGGTCATGAATGGAAGACGAAACCGTGAGAAGGTTTAAAGGTAAGACAAATTTGAGCAATCTAAAAGTTTCTTCTCTGATAACATTTTTATGGTTATCAGTTTTAATTTTTAAAGGTAAGAGAAATTTAAGCAATCTTCAAACTTTTTTTTTTAAGCCCGATCCCCATCAGCCCTGCACTTCCTCTACAATCACCTTCACCTGGTGTACAATGTCCGCTAACAGTCCATCCAAACAATGAGTCACACACCATCACCCCCGCTATTGTCATTGTGGTGTACATAACCTGTACTCTCTATCTTCCTCTTACTCCTCCCCCCGCCCTCCCCCTTCTTGTTTCTTCTTCTCTTCTTTTCACATAAATTGTATCATCAATCCGAATCAGCCACATCAGATCCAAAATGAGCCACATAATTGTGCTTGATTTTGTTGCAATTCACTTCCGTACAAACGATTCGCTTAAGATACCAACCTATATTCTCACCACCGTTCTAATCAGGTAAAGGTATATGGCGTATTCTCCTCGTATGGTTGGATTCTGAGAGATGCATCATGTGATGAAGGCGTTACGCCGTAGGACCCAAGAGAGATTAAATGGGATGTGGAACCCGGGTTTCGGGTAAACCCTGTAGAAAGGCTCAGCCTAGATTTCCAACGTTTGTAGACGGATAATAAGGACAATACTTCAGAGAAAGAGCCTGTCTTGTCTTGAATTCTCTGGAGAAATTCTATCTAATTTATTACGACTACTGCAGGGGCATTTATAATGATCAGAGCGTAAAAGTGTAAAACTACATCTGCACTTCGTGTGAGGACATATGCCCATGTGAAGTTTTCTGGTGTGGATGTACATATCGTTTTGTCACAGATATAAGGAATTTGTTGGCTGAGCAGAGCCTGCAGCTTACACAAGTTTTCCAGATTCTCTCTCAAGCTTCCAGTTGAGTCACTGTCGTACCACGGGTCAGGCACAAACCTTGATGAGCCCTCAGTTTCAGCCGCCATGTCACACACACCTTTTGGATTCCCATGGTTTGTGCCAAAACTTAGCTGTATGAGTCAATGACTATTATACCTGCTGTCCAGGTTATCCCTGACCTGAAGGTGGCGCAAANTGAGCCCTCAGTTTCAGCCGCCATGTCACACACACCTTTTGGATTCCCATGGTTTGCGCCAAAACTTAGCTGTATGAGTCAATGACTATTATACCTGCTGTCCAGGTTATCCCTGACCTGAAGGTGGCGCATAAAGTCAGGGACTAACCACTCATCGGTAGTATGTCGCACTTCCCGGGTTACAGTCTGTGAGGGATCTGTCCAAGCAACCCTCAGACTGACTGAAGGAGGTGCACAGACAATTAGTTAGCTTGGCCCCCGCCCTCCTTTTAAGTGGCATTCATAAGCTCGATNCAGTCTGTGAGGGATCTGTCCAAGCAACCCTCAGACTGACTGAAGGAGGTGCACAGGCAATTAGTTAGCTTGGCCCCCGCCCTCCTTTTAAGTGGCATTCATAAGCTCGGTCAAATGACGTGTTAGTAAGAGTAATATTTATCCAGGTACATTTCAGAATGCACCGAGTTGGCTTGCTGTATCAGCATTTGACCATGCTGCATTTCATTCCAATACATTACCCTTCAACAGATCCCACAGTATCTATAGACATTCCATGGACCAACGCAATGAAGAGAATGTGTCCAACAATCAGAGATCCAAAGCTTGCAAATCAGGGATGCAAAGAAAAGGGGGTTTTAATGGAAGGAAATGTTCTTATTGGATGGCTTACAAGTATGATAGAAGAATTATCGGGTAAACCCAAGTGCTGCTGCAATGCAACTTTGCATACAGCTTTTCCCTTCATATTATCTACAGAGTAGCTTTGTGGCAGAAATTGGTCCATGGAGGGATCCCAGGTTGAGTGGTCAAAACCATAAGGAGCACCCAGTATTTTGTCCCTGCATCCACATGCAAACCCCAAACAAAGACGGCAGGTTAGAAATTAGCATTTGTCAAGACAGCCTATTTATTTATCCTACAAGAAAATTGTTATTAAAGTCTGCAATGATAATAGATGGCGCAGACAAACAAAATCATTATGGAACATTCATGGTCTAAATATATTAAATGCACAAGAACTACTTACTTGTGGATGGCTAAGGTGGGCTCCAATCCATGACTCAAGCCACAAATAATCTGGTCTTTGGAATGCATGGATGACATTATTATGACTTTATTTGAGTAAACAACTCCACCCTGAACATTTGAAGAAGTAAAATAATGGATGAAAAAGGTTGGGAAAATGTGGGGTCTATAGCAATGCATCCTCATTAATAGAGGGGTTTTGAAGACAAAATGTAAGAAAGAAAGCTGGTTATGCCTAGGCCTCAAAATCCTATGATTAGATATCAAAATATGAAACTATAGTAAATCCTTCTCGAAGTTGGTCTAATGCATTCCTTTTCAAGCCAACAAATTGACTCGACCTTTCTAATGGAAAAGTTTAATAACTATAGTAAATCTAACTAGGAAAAAACAGATACCTTTAAAATGTTGACAAGATGAGGCTTGCTGTTATCTTGCAAACGATCAGGACGGAGTAGTCTAGAAGAATCAAGTCCACATAGTGCTAGCTTATCAGGTTGCTCAAGACACTAAAAATAATATAATGTAAAGCATTTTCCTGACAATAGTCATCAATAGGACCCAAGAAAACAAAATAAAGGCATTAAAGAATGAAATAAGAGACTTGCCTGAGAACCAAAGCCTTGGCATGTCAACAAAATTCTAGTAGCTCCAAGTCCCTGCATATTCTCAAACAAGAAAAATCACCAGAATGAATTACACGAGGTAAAGTTTATCAAGCCTACAATGTATTGGCGGAATCAAGTATTGCATCAACTGGCTGTGTAACACGTAAAAGAAATAATGTGGTACAAAACCAAAGTTTTAAAAAAAACAAGTCAATGAAGGCTCTGGGAAGCACCCTAGTTTTAGTGGATATGATAAAAACTAAAATAGAATTACAAAAGAATCCCCAAGGGATGAGTACTAAATAAATCTATGCTTAAAGGTTCACGATCCTTTTTAGAGTTCTCTAAATGACCGAAATAAAAAACAAATATTCACTCAACAAATACACATGCTGAAGCACAAGAAACTTATACTGCTTCAGAAAAGCACTCACTCTGTTAGCAAGGCAAAATTGAGTAGGGTACCAAGATCACATTCTAATTATTCAAGCAACAAAAACAAAAAGAGCTGAACATAACAAAATAGCTTCCTGTGGTATCACATCCTTCAATATGATGAAAGAAAAAGTACTTCCAAGTTGAACCTGATTAACAAAAACATCCCAGAAGAGTGGCCCAACAATTGAAGTTTCCCAGTTGTGTACATGCAGCACATCAGGCTGCTTTCCTGATTTCACTATATAATCCAATGAAGCACGAGAGAAATAGGTGAACCTGACAACAAGTAGCTGATCCATTACGAAGTATATTAAAAAGGAAATGCAACATAAAATAATGGAATTCATGTAAGGATAAAGAACAAAATACTTGGCCAGCATCTGTCACAAAATCATCAATCTAGAGTATAACTAAGTCAAATCAGAAGAGATTACTCAATTCTCATCTACCATTCAATTGCAACATAAAATAATGGAATTCATGTAAAGATAAAGAACAAAATACTGAACATATGGCCAGCATCTGTCACAAAATCATCAATCTAGAGTATAACTAAGTCAAATCAGAAGAGATTACTCAATTCTCATCTACCATTCAATTGCAACATAAAATAATGGAATTCATGTAAAGATAAAGAACAAAATACTGAACATATGGCCAGCATCTGTCACAAAATCATCAATCTAGAGTATAACTAAGTCAAATCAGAAGAGATTACTCAATTCTCATCTACCATTCAATTGCAACATAAAATAATGGAATTCATGTAAAGNAAAGGAAATGCAACATAAAATAATGGAATTCATGTAAGGATAAAGAACAAAATACTGAACATATGTCCAGCATCTGTCACAAAATCATCAATCTAGAGTATAACTAAGTCAAACCAGAAGAGATTACTCAATTCTCATCTACCATTCAATTGCAACATAAAATAATGGAATTCATGTAAAGATAAAGAACAAAATACTGAACATATGGCCAGCATCTGTCACAAAATCATCAATCTAGAGTATAACTAAGTCAAATCAGAAGAGATTACTCAATTCTCATCTACCATTCAATTGCTCTACAACCACACCAAGCATAGGGTCATACTATCCAATTTGCAGATGAACTGTACAAAATTAGAGGGTGAGAATGACACAGACCACCACAATCCCAAAAATATGACGAGTCAAAAAAATTAGGGGATTAGAACCAACTACTGGAAGTTCAAGTGAAAGAAATTTGATATGCTGTGGCAAAGTCAAATCATAGTTATCAAACACAATATACTATACTAGAGTCAAGCTTCATGTGTCATACAACAGTGCTTCTGAAATTAAGAAATAAAGCTATTTCCTTGGCTTTGTGAGGGAAAGAAGANAACTACTGGAAGTTCAAGTGAAAGAAATTTGATATGCTGTGGCAAAGTCAAATCATAGTTATCAAACACAATATACTATACTAGAGTCAAGCTTCATGTGGCATACAACAGTGCTTCTGAAATTAAGAAATAAAGCTATTTCCTTGGCTTTGTGAGGGAAAGAAAAAGTAACAGCCACCTTGATTCGTGTGGACTTTTTAAGCATAAGGAGTTAGTATCTATGGATTTACTTCCCAAGGACGCATATCTAAGTACATAGTTTCCACACCCAAGAAACTGGCATCNAAGTAACAGCCACCTTGATTCGTGTGGACTTTTTAAGCATAAGGAGTTAGTATCTATGGATTTACTTCCCAAGGACGCATATCTAAGTACATAGTTTCCACACCCAAGAAACTGGCATCATTTTGCCCACCATTTACTCTTTATCTACCAGTTACATGAACATTTTCAAGAAAATTTTAATCTTAAGATCACTAAATAAGTTTAATAAACTCTTTTTTTCTTTCTGAGTTAAGCACCACCAAAAATTGATCTGAACTTCGACCAAGACATCGACGTGGAACATGCCAATGATTCTCTGGGTATGTCTCTTCAACCTAGTTTTTGAATATACTTGCCTCCATTTTTAATGGGGAAATACATTTGTTTCTCTGGTTTTCACTATATAGTGATGGATCAGCTTTTACTTGTGCTAATACCGTTGGTCTCCAGGCTAGAAAGGGCACAGTAATACAATCAAATGTTCAAAACAACCGGATTACAAAAGCAAAGCCTCCAACGCTACCACCCAAATGTGCTGTGAAAGGATTTGCAGTACAAATGTTTGCTGGTGAATGAAAGAGATTCCAAAAGTTTCTCAAGAACTTGTGCCTCTGGATTTAGTTGTCAAAACACCGACAATCTTATATTGAGTTTTTCAACCTCAACTACTTTCTTCAACTTCAAAAATTACCCTCCTTGTGAATTACACAACTCATCAACCCTATAACCAATACCAATTCCGTGCAAGAAAATCAGCAAAAAGTACTTTTTCGAATTCAGGAGTGCGATAACTCAAACGTGTAGGAATTCATAATGTTGTTGTTCGCTTCAAATGACTGACATTGTTCAAAATGTCTTGGTTCAGGTAGGTTGCAGTTGAGACCAACTACAAAAGAACCGCCAAGCTCAATTATCAAAAAATAAGCCAAACTAAACAAAATCATAATGTGGATCTTAGGCGGCCTGACATATAACTTCATAGGTGGAAGCTGTCAATCATAATTTTGTTTATCGTAATGAGTCCATAAGAGAGAGAGAGAGAAGCAATGATACTGACAGCTGGAAATCCAAACAATATTCTCATTTCCAATCACGCAATGGGCAAGGAATAGAGATTGCCATAATATATCTGACATTCACATTCACACAGATAAAAAACTGTACAATACAGAGAAACAATATTGTAAGAAATATACCACCAACCTTCTCTGATTTTATATGCACAAATCCTTTTAAAAGAATTACTTGCCTTTCAAAATCGTTTGAATAGCCATATACCCTCTCAAGGCTGAAAAATGATGAATAGTATACAGGTTGTATGAAAGTAACCCCAATGCCATAGATTACACTGTACACCAAATGATGAAGTAAGGTCAACTCGGGGTCATAAATAGGAAGAGAAGACGTGATGTAATATCTAAATTTGGTTGCTTATAGTTGTTTATTACCTCTGACAAGATGCCTGACTAATCTTGAAAAATAATCCAACATAATTTCACAATATAGAATGGGCATGCAAACTTACCCAGACCAAACTCTATTTGAGTGCAATTGACCATTAAAATATGAATAAAAATCTGCCTCAACTTCCCGCAACCCTTGCACTTCATCTAGTTTCAGGTTAGCGTACCTGTATATAAGATGCATTCCTTCTATTCAACAACTCCAAAATCTCATATTTCCAGTCTACTGGTGATCAAAAGGTTAAAAGGAGATTTNTTCATCTAGTTTCAGGTTAGCGTACCTGTATATAAGATGCATTCCTTCTATTCAACCACTCCAAAATCTCATATTTCCAGTCTACTGGTGATCAAAAGGTTAAAAGGAGATTTTGTTTTTATTTTAATCAATCAATAAAAGGGACAGGACCTGGCAGGTTCTCATTTCAATCAAAAAAATTTAATGCACGAAATATCAAAACAGTGTGCATTGTGTTTTTGTCATAGTGGTCACTGACAATGAAGGAATTGGAACAGTAGTTAAAATGTTCAACCAATCCATGCACCATCGCATAAATCTAGATCAAGAACATATTAATGTGTAATGTCCAGCAAAGAGGTAAAACGGGCTGCTTAAGCAATGCTTCTACACCCGATTATGTCCTCAACTGCTAATTGGGTGATTTTATTGTCTTACATATATTTTGCCACTCCATAAATTCACTATTGACTGTCGATAATTGTTGACATGTAACATCATAGCAGTTTCTAAATAGGCACAATATGGTTAGATTTTGATTTTCAGTTACTAAACTACAAAAGGCAAGAAAAAAAAATAGATGCAAATGAAAAATAAATAATGCACAAGATTACTTTGGTAATATAACCTCCACCAAATTCCCCTTTCTTTGTAGAGCACGAGATAAGCCTGTCACATATGATGCCAAAGATCCGATGGACACAACCGGTGCCATTTCAGTACAAATGTGGATAATGTGGAAACCCTTCCTGAATTAAAAACAATAGAGACCTTGTAAGAACTGAGAAAAAAAAGAATAGAGTAAAGAATAATATTAATATTCTAGATACAAATAGGCAAAATAAAAAGGGCTTTTATGGGATTTTTCAATATTTACAATTGCAGTGTGCAGGAGATAAACATTACACTCCAGTCTTGTCAGAGAAGTGGCGGAGTCTTCGCAGAAGTTCAGCATCTCCTTTATGCAGTATATCAGAGAAGTCATCAGCGAAACTAACTTTCAAATCCATGACTAGCCTTCTCAAGTCAGATGCCTCCCGAGTGCCAATCATGCTAGTAAGGACCATCGAGTCTATCCTAAGCAGCAACTCTGACTTGATTGCAAGCTTATCTAATTATAGTGTAAACCAACAAAAGATATTTGTTAGCTCATAGATATGTTTCTTCCCTTGGAGTGCATATGAATTTCAAATACACGAGACATTTTTCGATTGCAAGGTCATAATTTGGGTAGGCTCGCAAGATTTACAAGATCAAGGGATGTTGTAGATAATATAATTATATTACACCGCACAAATCTGCACGTACTTTTTTTATATTACTCAGGATTCAGGTTTAGTGGCAGACCCCCAATTGTTGCAATAAGGCTTTGTTGGGATGAGTAGTTGATTTGAGGATTCAGGATTAGTATTTCCTTTCTAAGAGGCTCAATCATCTAGTTCATCCATATACATTCACACATCAGTCAAGATTGCATCTACCATCTCATGATAGCCATGAATTAGCCAGCTCTTACAACTACAACATCCAGGTCCCTATCACAAGCAACAGAAGACTAAAATGCAAAAAGACAGAGTTATGCAAGTCAAATGTCAAATGTTTCCATAATTTTTCAGATTCTGCAATCCATTGTGCTTGATCATTGCAACAACTTATATTGATGAAAATCTAAATGCATGGATGCATTTGTTTATCTGTGGTCATTCACAAAAAAATTAACAGCAGTTCAGGGTAAGAACCTGTTTTACACCAATTGGAATGGAGACCATTAAGTGGATGCCTACCAAGTATTTACAAATCAGTTGAAATTTCAAAAGGGTGCAAGCACTGGTCTGACGAAATAACATGGACCACTGATTACAAATGACCTTACCCGATATGGAAGAGTGCATTAGGTCTTGGAGTTACTATAGAGACTGAGAACCCTCTTATAAAACTTGAGATAGATGTAAGTGAAAAGGATACAAACTAAGTGTAGAGCCCCGTATATATAATCAATGAGAGTTACAACAAGGACAAAAAGGTAAAAAGGAAAACTCAATAAAACCCTAATAAACTAGAATGCTGCTATATCTCCAACACTCCCCCTCAAGCTTGGCGCAAAAATGTCAACTAAACCAAGCTTGACAACGGAGTCCCGAATAATAGATAGAGTGACAGGTTTGATAAAAACATCTGCAACCTGATCACTGGTCCCCATGAACGATGGAGTGACAATACCACTGCTAACCTTCTCCCGAAGAAAGTGAACATTGATCTCTATATGCTTCGTCCGCTCATGTAGTACAGAGTCAGAAGCGAGCGGAATAGCAGATCGATTATCACAATATAATGTAGATGGAGAAGTCACTGAAAATCCCAATTCACCAAGAATCGATCGTAGCTAGATAATCTCACACGTGCCAAGTGTCAGTGCCCGATACTCTGCCTCTGCTGACGAGCGAGAGACAACTGTCTGCTTCTTGCTCTTTCAAGAGATAAGATGAGTCCCTCGAAAAACACAGAAGCCCGTAGTAGATAGACCGTCACATACTCCCCCATAATCTAAATCTGAATAACAGGCTAGAAAACCAGTCTGAGATCCTGATGCATAGAACAATCCAAGTCCAGGACAAGACTTAAGGTACCGAAGAATATGATAAACTGCATCGAGATGAGGGTGACACGGCCTGTGCATGAACTAACTAACTCGGCTGACTGCGAATGAAATGTCCGGCTTAGTGTTGGCTAAGTAGATAAGTCTACCTACCAACCTCTAATAAACTGTCAAATCTCTCAACTCCTTATTTTCAGCAGTAAGCTTCAGGTTTGGAATCATGGGTGATAATGCCGATTTGCACCCCTACATCCCAGTGTCTGAAGGAAGATCCAAAACATATTTTCTTTGAGAAAGAACAACACTCCTGCTGCTACCAGCAACCTCAATCCCAAGAAAGTATCGCAGAAATCCAAGGTCCTTCACATCGAAGGCCTTCCCAAGGTCTACCTTGACCTGCGCAGTCCCATAAACATCATCACCAATAATAATAATATCATCAACATATACCAGAAGAATGACACACTGTCCAGAAGTATTCCGTCGAATAAAGCAGGTATGATCAGAATGACATCTGGTGAACCCCAAACGTACAACTACATCACTAAAGCGAGAGAACTAGGCTCGTGGTGACTGTTTCAATCCATAAAGAGACTTACGCAGTCGACATACCTTTCCAACATACTCCCCCTCACCACGAAAGCCCGGTGGTGCATCCATATAAATAATCTCGTCCAGATCACCGTGAAGAAACGCATTCTTCACATCTAACTGATGAAGAGACCAAGAGTACTCCGCAGCCAGAGAATTAATCAACCGAACAGTAGTCAATTTTGCCACGAGGACAAATGTAGCACCAAAATCACGACCTGGTACCTGAGTAAAGCCCTTCGCTACAAGCCTAGCCTTGAGACGATTAATAGTACCATCCGCAAGAAACTTCAGGGTGTAAACCCAGCGACAACCAACAGACTTCACTCCTAAAGGTAAAGAGACAAGATCCCATGTACGATTACGCTGAAGAGCGTCCATCTCTGTCTGCATGGCAAGAACCCACTGAAGCTCCCGTATAGCCTCCGAAACAGAGCGAGGAACTGGCGTATCTAATAAGGCCATACTATAAGCTCAAAATATAGGCGACAAATTATCATAAGAAACATAAGCAGAGATCGGATATAAAATCCTGGCGGTCCAACCATAACGATCAACTGGACGGCGATCACGCTGCGTATAACGACGCTCTAAATCATCATCCTCCACTGATAATGTCTCATCAGGTAAAGGAACTGGCTCAACACCTGTAATCTCATCAGTACTAACAACAGGTGCATCAATATGCTCAACAAACTGAGAAGTATTACCTGCATCGCCTGAGTTAGAGGGGACATCAGTAGAGTGATGAGAACGAGGGCAACGAACATATACCTGCAAAGGAAGAGAGACTGTTGACTCTGTACTGACAGGGATGAGTGGCTTCAGAGGAAGAGAGACAGATGACCCTATAGGGATAGTGACCAATGACTCTAGCTCTTGTGGTAATGGAAAATCAAGGGGAGTATCATCAACTGAAGGAGCAGACACAGGACTAAAAGGAAAATAAGGAATATACTCTAAAAAAGTAACATCTAGACTGTGATACATACAGCGCCCAATAGGATCATAACACCGATACCCCTTAGATTGATGACAATAGTCCACAAAAATACAACAATTTATTTTATCATCAAATTTATGACGAGTATGAGATCGATCCTGAACAAAACATGTGTATCCAAAAACACGAGGGGGGACCGAAAAAAGTGTCCACTCAGGAAATAAGACTTGTAAGGGAGCCTTATGCTGAAGAACACGACTCGGCGTACGATTGCACAGAAAGGTAGAAGTCAAAACAGCAAAATGCCAAAGATTTTGGTACTCTCATGCCTTGAAGCATATAACGTACCATCCCTATCAAACTCCTATTTTTTCTTTCAGCAACACTATTTTGCTCAGGAGTATATGGACAAGTGAGTTGCTGAAGAATACCCTGAGAAGAAAGATGGGACACTAAGGCATCAGACACATATTCTTTGGCATTATCCGAACGAAGAGCACGAACAATGACATCAAATTGTGTCTTAATCATCTGTAAAAATTGAGTGATTATAGAGAGTATATCAGACTTTCGATGCAAAAGGTAGTCCCAAGTATAACGGGTATGGTCATCTATAAATGTCACATAGTATCGGGCACCTGACAAAACAGTAACGGGAGAGGATCCCCAAATATCAGAGTGTATTAGGTCAAATGGCTTGGGTGACTGGTGCATGCGAGGAATATAACTAACCCTAACATGTTTCGATAAGGAACCATATAACATAGTCAAGTTTACCATCAATACAAGTATTGCTCAAAGTAGGAAACAACATACATAAATATTTAAAATTTGTATGTCCAAAATGGTAGTGCCACAACTGAACAGTTTGTGACGAAAAAACATAACGACAACTACTAGGTAAATTACTAGCATGCAAGCTAGGAACAGATAAAGACAAAGCAGGTGCAGGTGCAGTTGACATAGGTAGAGGAATTGGTGAAACTGGAGGTGGATTGCCAAGATACTATAGTCCATCCTGCAAATAACACGAATCAGATAAGAATACAACCGCACAGTGAAAATCTCTGGCTAACTGATGTACAAATAATAGATTCATGGTCAACTTTGGCGCATGAAAAACTGAACGTAATGTAAAGCCATCTAGGAGGCGGACTATACCCCTACTAACAATAGGGGCATGTGTCCCATCTGCTAACTGAACCTGTGTATGTAACTGCTCGTCAAAAATGGTGAAGTGATGGGCCGCACCTGTCATGTGACTATTCGCACTCGAGTCCAACATCCAAAGGGGAGATGAACTGGCACAAGCATGAAAAGCACAAGGTATACTTGTAGTGGTAGCAGCAGTAGTCGAACTCTGAAAAATTAGAGCAGACATAAGTATATCTAATCGGAAAATGATAGCATCCATATCACTCTGCCAAGGAGGAACAACCGCAGGAGTTGCGGTAGTGGATGGTAGTACCTCAGCAATAGCAACAGTACAGTTGCGAGGAGGCGGCTAAAGCTCTGGATGGAGCTTCCAGCAAGTAGCCCAGAGATGTCCTGGTCGGCCACAATAATCACATTGACGAGAATCCCCTTATCTGCGCTGATCTGGGGTACCCTGACGGCGCTGATCCGAGCGCTGCCCAACCCTGATTGAGGATCCTGAACGAGACCCTGTAGTAGCCGCAAGGGCCATCTGGTCAGCCGAAGGAGTCAAAGGCGCAACTGGAAGTGATGCAATACGCACTCGGTGCTCATGCTGCTCAATCATCTCATACACCTCATAAAGAGAAGGAAGTGTCGA